CCGCGACGACGTCATCACGCCCGAGTGGGTGTAAGCCCTAGCACGTACGGGGGAGAAGGACCGACTGTCATAGTCCCGACTCTCTCTCTCTCTCGCTTCGGAGCAAACCTTCTTTTGGGATGCCTCGTGTGCCTGGGCATTAAATAGAAACGAAGGATCCGCCCCCAAATTATACCAAGACTGATCGACCTGCTCATGCGACCTTTTTAGAGATATTTTCCTTCTTTTTCCTTCGGCCCCGGGGGGCCCAACACGATCGACTTCCATTTGTCCGCGGTAATGTTGTAGGTCCCCGTTCATCGGAGGGAGAGACACGCTAAGAGTGCTGGGATTCCCCGGGTACGATTGGTGGGCAGTCACGCCCCCTTGGGGCTGGATCTGGTCCGGGACAGAAATGCTGAGGGGAGACGGGGGGTCCGATACAGTCTTACAAATTTGGTGCTCGGGGGACGGGAGGAAAAATGGAGAGTGGCCCTGATAGCTTCCGCTGCCATTCCAACTGGGGGAGGTCGGTTCGGACTCGGGCCGATTTGACTCTGGGCTTGGTACGATTATAGAGAAATTAGAAGCAGAGGAGGACTGGGGAAGGAAGGATTGCTGAGGTTTTCTATGGCCAGAGAGTAAAGAGTTGAAATCAAACTGGTAGAGGTCGAGTCCGTTGTTGACACACTCTGGGCTCGGGGGAGGAGCACGAGGGAGGGGAGAGCTGCTGGACTCCTCGGTATAACCAACTTCTCCACAGGAAGCCATTTTGAAATACTGAGAGAGAGAGAGAGAAAGAGAGGAGAGAAGGAGAGAGAAAATGAAATATGCAATGATTATAAACAATAACACACAGTGTATCCTCTTTATTAAGGACACCATTGGGCCCACACTACCTGTCCTTAATACATGTACAGTGTAGCCTCTTTATTAAGGACACCATTGGGCCCACACTACCTGTCCTTAATACATTTACAGTGTAGCCTCTTTATTAAGGACACCATTGGACCCACACTACCTGTCCTTAATACATGTACAGTGTAGCCTCTTTATTAAGGACACCATTGGGCCCACCCACACCACCTGTCCTTAATACATGTACAGTGTAGCCTCTTTATTAAGGACACCATTGGACCCATACTACCTGTCCTTAATACATGTACAGTGTAGCCTCTTTATTAAGGACACCATTGGGCCCACACTACCTGTCCTTAATACATGTACAGTGTAGCCCCTTTATTAAGGACACCATTGGGCCCACACTTACCTGTCCTTAATACATGTACAGTGTAGCCTCTTTATTAAGGTCACCATTGGGCCCACACTACTTGTCCTTAATAAAGAGGTGTCCCCACTCCTCATTTCAGAGGTATTTTTGTACAGGCTTGTACCAACTGGGACATTACAAAAATGTCCTCATTACAAAGGTGGCCTTATCTCAAAGTGCCCTTACTATAAAAGTATAATAGTACAACTCAAATATCTCTACAGCATCAGCAGAACTATAGCAATCATCATCATAATAATGATATCATCTCCCACTAGTATTGGACTAATAAAATTATTACAACCTAAGACACAAGTACATGTACATATAGATACAGGCACACATGCATGCCACATGACAAATTGTATAATGGGAAGATGAGGAGAGACTCATAATTGAACAGTTTCTCAGTAAAGGGCAAATATCATTACATCATTTTATGTTACAATAACAAGAGAGAAGGAGAAGGAAACAGGTGTTATAATAAATCTTTTAGAGGTGAGAAAGAGAGAGAGAGGGAGGGGGAGGAGAAACCATTATTAACATGCTTTCTAATCCATCGATCAAAAGATTCATTATACTTCCAAACAATAATATATATACATGTACATTTATAAAATTTTTTATTTGGCCAACTTGAGGAATAAAAAAACAACTACAATTCTAAGCTCACATAAACATGTATTTTCTAAAAAACACATGCACGAATCACTCACTAACTCCACAATAAGGCATATAAACCCTCAGGACAATGTGTGTACTCACATTTCTATCTGTGATGAGATCTTTGAATTCAGTGTAGACCCAGTTTGCCTCTCTTTCTCCCGAGGACAAGGACTGTCAGAGATCAAGACGGGCTACCACAGAAAGAGAAAGAAGGGACTATCCTGTGACGGGGACTACCACCACCTCTCACTCAATTAACATATTCTCCCTAACTGACAAAATTAATGTCTCTTTAGCTCTTCTATAATTCTGTCACTCTCTCGTCCCTCCTACTTATAATTGAATTATTGGAGAGGTCGTGATTTCCGTACACCTCCGTTAAAAACCGGAAAATATTATTGTAGGCGTGACCATTAATTTTAATTAATGGTTATGAATAATTAATTAAGATATTTTATAATTTTTAGCTCTTGCTTAATTTCTTAGACACATATCTTAATAAAAAACTAGCGAACATCAGAAACCAAGAGAAACAGATAATTCACAACTAACATACAGACATCTCATCATTTCGAAGAGAGATAGGGAGGGAGAGAGAGAGAGAATAAAACAGTGAACATTATAATACATAAAAATAAACTCCATTCGTTGAATAACAACAGCAACAACATTACAACGATAATAATAATAATAATAATAATTAATAATTTATTTTTAAGAGTTTTAAATAATAATAACAACTATAATAGTTTTGAGTTAACAATAAAAAGAGAGAGAGAGAGAGAAAAATTTGGAGAAGTTTTTCATGTAGCAGAAACTGAGATGATGTGATCAATGAGAAATGGGAGGGGCAGGAAGTAGGTGTGGTCTTAAATAACACTCCAGTCGGCTGAATATTCAAATCCGCGAAACAATTTCTGAAACGCAAAAAAATAAATTAAAAAGTATAAATTTAAATTGATAAAGGTACATCGTAAAAGTATCTTACCTGTTCTTTCGCTTTTAATGGTCTGGGATTCTTTGGAGGAGTAAAAATGGGATCTTCTCTTGTGAATTCATCATCAAAATTGCTAATATCTAGTCGCCCTTCCTATAAAAGTATTAAATAAAATTAAAATACGTGTACATGTAGACAAGGGCAAATATTCTACTGACCAGTTTTGGTTTAAACGGTGGCTTTACTTCTCTTCTTAGCAGCTTCTCCCAATCAATGTGCTGTAATGTGGGGGAGAAGGAGAAAGAGAGTTAATAAGGCAATATTCAACTAACAAATATTACAAGTAAAAACACTTTAATATATTACAAGTAATAATACATATTACAAGTAATAACACTTACATGTACATATTATAAAGACATCAATATGTATTGAAAAATTGGGGGTCAATTTTTGAGACAAAAAAACCATGGGCCTTTGCTTTTTTCCAAAAATTGACTCCTTTTTAAAATGCTCATAACTTGAATAAATTAAAGTCGGAATCACCTCAAACTTTCTACACAGCATAAGGACATCAATATGTATTTGAAAATGTATTAAAAATGGGGGGTAATTTTTAGCCATTTTTCGGAAAAAAGCATGGGCTATAGTACAGGACATTTTTAAAAAATTTGGCATTTTCTTTAATTGGCCATAACTTGAAAAATTGAAGTCGGAATCACCTCAAACTTTCTACACTGCATAAGGACATCAATATGTATTAGAAAATGTATTAAAAATTGGGGGTAATTTTTTAGTCATTTTTCAGAAAAAAGCACGGGCTATAGTACAGGGCATTTTTTAAAATTTTGGTATTTTCTTCAATTGGCCGTAACTTGGAAAATTGAAGTCGGAATCAACTCAAACTTTCTACACAGCATAAGGACATCAATATGTATTTTAAAATGTATTAAAAATGGGGGGTAATTTTTAGCCATTTTTCGGAAAAAAGCATGGGCTATAGTACAGGACATTTTTAAAAAATTTGGCATTTTCTTTAAATGGCCATAACTTGAAAAATTGAAGTCGGAATCACCTCAAACTTTCTACACAGCATAAGGACATCAATATGTATTAGAAAATGTATTAAAAATTGGGGGTAATTTTTTAGTCATTTTTCGGAAAAAAGCATGGGCTATAGTACAGGGCATTTTTTAAAATTTTGGCATTTTCTTTAAATGGCCATAACTTGAAAAATTGAAGTCGGAATCACCTCAAACTTTCTACACAGCATAAGGACATTAATATGTATTTTAAAATGTATTAAAAATGGGAGGTAATTTTTAGCCATTTTTCAGAAAAAAGCATGGGCTATAGTACAGGACATTTTTCAAAATTTTGGTATTTTCTTCAATTGGCCGTAACTTGAAAAATTGAAGTCGGAATCACCTCAAACTTTCTACACAGCATAAGGACATCAATATGTATTAGAAAATGTATTAAAAATTGGGGGTAACTTTTTAGTCATTTTTCAGAAAAAAGCATGGGCTATAGTACAGGGCATTTTTCAAAATTTTGGTATTTTCTTCAATTGGCCGTAACTTGGAAAATTGAAGTCGGAATCACCTCAAACTTTCTACACAGCATAAGGACATCAATATGTATCAGAAATTGTAATAAAAATTGGGGGTGATTTTGGAGCTAATTTTCAGAAAAAAAAAACAGACTGAGTGATAGTTAAAGCTAAAAGGAGGCCACGTGCTAAGCAGTTATAACATGCTGCTAAATCTTGTAAGCAACTTGTTGCAAAAATAGAACAGATTTCTACCATGTGTCACTTATAAGATCAAAGCAACCACATACAGTAGCCTACAGTACTTGGTAAGTGTAATATAATCATTATTACTTTAAAGAATGGCTGCCTCTTTATATCTTCTGCATCTCTCTCACCAGCTCCTAATCTTCTCTCTGGATTTCTACGAAGAAGCTAAACAAAATAATAAAAATATTATAATCATAATTTTAGTACCTACCTTTCTCATTATAGAGATGGCTTCAGATGATAAGAATCGAGGGTACCTGACGTCATCATTAACAATACTATCAAAGACTTCCTCTTCATCCTCACCAGGGAATGGGGACTATGGGGAATAATAGTAACGTTACTAATAATAGTAACAATAGGGGTGGGAGCAACACTATATTAATAATAGTAACAATAGGGGGTGGGAGTAACGTTACTAATAATAGTAACAATAGGGGGTGGGAGCAATGTTGCTAATAATAGTAGCAATAGGGGGTGGGAGTAACATTACTAATAATAGTAACAATAGGAGTGTTAGTGATGCTGTACTAGCAAGAAAACATTTCAATGCTAAATATAGTAACAACATGTGTAAAGAGTACATGTACATGTATATCAATAGCATGCTATTTATAGTAACAGTCTTACCTCTCCTACCAACATTTCATAAATGAGTACCCCAAGGCCCCACCAATCAACTGCTCTAGTATATGATACATCAGTTAATACCTACATGCATTAATAAATAAATAAATTAATAATAATACGAATATATAGTATAGCGGGAAATTTCGAAGGGAATTAAATTTAGTGAATTCGACTGCCATTTGCCAAAATAAAACCTGCCGTTTTGAGCCATTATATGCATGCTCAATGGCACACGGCCAGTAATTTGCCAAATTAAAATTCGCCAATCACCAAAATTTAGCAATTCGCCAAATTTAACTCTCTCCAAAATTTTCTGCTATACAATAACTTATTAATTTTAAGTCACTCTCTCTTTGTCCCTCTCCAATTCTCACCTCAGGTGCTAAGAACTCTGGGGTACCACAGAAGGTGCTAGTACGAGACCCATACCACATTCCTTCTTTACACAACCCGAAATCGGCGACTTTTACGAATCCATCAACATCAAGGAGGAGGTTATCCAGTTTGAGATCCCTATACACTATACCATTCTCATGGAGGTACTGTAATCCCAATACTACACAGGCAGCATAAAAACTAAGAGAGAGAGAAATAAATTGAATGTCTAAATTACACGTATAAATGCTCGTGCAATAAAAATTTCACAAGCAACTACAAATTTCATTTTTACAAATTATCGATTATCTTTACATGTACATGTATTTAACTGATTATTTAAATACATGAATATATACACGTATGTACGTGTACATGTACACCAAATCGTACAGTGTTTAATGTATGCAATAACACTTCTTCCTTACCAAGCTCTTGGCTCTTTGAATATGTCCTGATGGATGTGCATCATCAGGTCACCACCACAGGCATACTCCATTACAAAACAAACATTGTTCTAAAGTAAATTAAGACAAGAAAGGGCATAGTTCATTAGAACATGATAATGAAATTAGGAATACTCGCTAATTTAGGCAAATTAAATTTGATACATGATAGTCTAGAGTCTACAGTTGAATCATGAGAGAATGTAATGGAGAATTTGCTCTTAGCCATATTTCATGATATGCCCTGTACTATATAGGATGTCCTGTCAAATTTTGAAGAAGCTTTAAAAATTCATAAAATACATGTGCATGTATCTAATTTACATGTACATGTAGATTAGAATCTGCCCAAACATTCTACACAACATACAGTAAGACCATGTGCAATAGAAACATACCTCAGACTGGAAGCAGCAGTGAAGGTTGACTAGGAATGGATGCCTCACAGCGTTTATCTTCTCAAATATTCTTTTTTCCGACATCAAACTCTCCACCTCATCCCTTGATATGATGTCTCCTTTCTTTAGAACCTTCACAGCGACTAGCTCCTTCGTGTTCTTATCCTCTGCCAATAAAACCTAAAATTAATAATAATAATAAATAATGATTTTTATTAATTGTGTGTGGGCGGGTTAGAATACTTCGTGTTCAAGTATGTGTGAAAGTGGGTGGGGCTAGTTGTCATGGTAATATCTTACCTTTCCAAAGTGGCCCCGCCCAAGGACTGCTATAAACTTGTACTCATTGATACCTTTCATGTGAGGAAGAACACTAGAAGAGAAACAAAAGGGAGAAAGAGGGAAAGGTTAATTATTTGGCAAGTAAGTTTGGCAAAGGAAAGCACAACTACTTAATGTAACTATACATACACATGTACATGTACATGTACTGTACATGTTGTAGCCTCCATATAAGGGCACCTTTATAATGAAGACATTTTTGTGAGGTACAAGCCCATACAATATAGTACCACTGAAATGAGGACACCTCTGTACAGATTGGGAGTCAATGAAAAAGGCTCTAGACAATAACAATTTTGATGGACATGCAATGCAACAACATGTACATGCACAATGTACTATTGCAGCTAGCGCTTACTCAGTGCCTTCAATTTACATTAAGCAGTTATTCTGGTACTTCAAAGCATGAACATGTATCATTATATACATAGGGACTAGAGTATATTAAGAACATTTCTTTGTGTAGCTACAGTACATTCTGTAGTTAGTAAACTCAAGCATAATTGAAACTGCAGTTGAAGCTCAATTACAATTATGATTACATTTGTAATTGTAATTGATCCTTAGATTACAATCACAATTACGAAATCGTAACAAATACTTAAATTACAATTACAATCGTAATTGACCCAATGCAGGTCTGCCTCTGTATTAAGGACAGGTAGTGTGGGCCCAATGGTGTCCTTAATAAAGAGGCTACACTGTACATGTATTAAGGACAGGTAGTGTGGGCCCAATGGTGTCCTTAATAAAGAGGCTGCATTCTATGTATTAAGATTAATGGTGTCATAAGAGGTTACACTGTACACATACATCCAATGACCACTAAACATGTACATGTACCATGGTACCATACCTTCCGCCAGTGTCCCTGTACGATGATGATGTTCCCTTTCTCTCCGGCGTACCACTGGCAGAGACCGACGTGCCCTCAGTGGACATACGTCCGACCTTCTGGTGAGTGTTCTGAGAGTGGGAGGAGCCGGAGGAGGGGGTGTATATGTTAGTGGAGGATTGCTGGTACTGGGAGGAGGAGGGAAGATAAGGAGTACAGGAAGCTGAGGCTTGTAATGGTGTATGAGAAGGAGACTGTGACAGTGAGAGAGAGGGAGGGAGGGAGAGGAAAGAGAGAGATAAATGATTATTAATGTAAATGTATGTGAACTGAGATTCAATTACTGTATATGGAGATATTATCAATATTGCTATACATGTAAATATGTACATGTAATATATACAGTACATGTACATGTACATGTATGAGTGCACTTTATAAATATAGTACATGAATACATGTACTGTACATTTAAATGAAGCACATTTTTGGTGTTTGATAGTCCCTCAATTAGGCATACAATAGTACATGTACATTAAAATCAAGCAATACTGCTATTAATATGTACATGTACATGTACATGTGTTACATTTGGTAGTTGATAGTTCCTTGGTGGGACGGGAGGAGCTGGTGGATGAGAATAGGCAATATTCAGTCCATCCTCGTGCTTGCCCAAATTATCGAGATAAGGAATGTGCTTACACTAAGAAAGAAAAAAGGAAAAAATAATAAAAATAATGTACATGTAATTTCATTTTAAAAAATACATGTACATGTACATGTATCTTTGATAAGTCTATACAAACAAAAAAAGGAAAAAGAATAAAGATGCTGTATATTCTCAAATAGAAGCCAGTTATTTCTCTTTTATAAATGCAGGCTTCTCCAATACTCTATACAGGCTCATACATGTACGTGACATAGGCTATTTAATACATGTACATCAAGAGCACATACATGTACATGTACATGTACATTGCGTACGTGTATAGCCCAACCCAACATACATGTACATGTACAAGTACAATTCTTTCTTACCAGTTCAGGTAGAGGTGATGGAGGTCTTAAAGGTTCAACGACTCCGTTTGATAGCCTACGCTCACCGCTAGCCCCACCCTTAGTGGGCGTGGTCTTATCCTCGACAAACTGAGGGGGCGGTGGAATGATGATCTGATCCGGAGTATGCATCAACTCGGCGTCGCTCACGGGGCTCGGAGGTGGGAGGGGTCCATTTGTCTCAGGGGCCACGCCTCCATCGTCATCCTTATCAAAAACGGAGGTGTGGCTTTGGTGCCGATACGAAGAAGGCGTATCTGGCGTCTTTGGACTATTCTCGCCACTTTGACTATCACTTTGGGGCGGGGACGTGTCAGAGTCAAAATTAAGTGTGACTGGTTTCAGGTTTCCGGAGGATTTTGCACCCGAGGCCCCGCCCATCGGAGACGCCAAGTCTGCACCAGCAGTTATAGCAGGAGCAGCCCGACTGAGCAATCTTGACCACGTGGCTATGTTAGTGTTGATTTCTGAAGGTCTGAGGATTTTACCACCTGGAGAAATACATGCACATGTACATGCATAAAGAAGAATAAAAAATTTATACTGTAATATAGTGAAGAATGCTCTAGCTAAATTTAGAGGGGCGAGGAATTTTGCTAATTTTTTTGGTGATCAATGATCGACAAATTTATGGCCCAAAAAAATCAAACATACATGTACATGCAAATGTCTTTCAAAATGCATAATTCACCAAAAAATTCACCCACTCCAAAACTGCTATATCTACAGTAAACATGTACATAAAAGTACATGTACATGTACATGTATATAATATAATAAAGAATTAAAAGCTATATATAGTACATGTCATTGTAATGAAGAGTAAAAATATTAAAAAGCGGAGTGAAGAGTACAAATAATACTAAATAAAGGAATGAGGGGGCAAGAGTCTAAATTACGACATCTGGAACTGGTAGTACAGTACAGGGTGGTGACATTCCTCTCTCCTTATTGGTCAATGGACAAAACAAAAGAAATTAAGATTAAACAAGTCCCGTGTTTAAATCGGTTGCCAGGCGACACTTCCTGCACAATAAACAGGTAAGTCTAGTTTCTACAGAGCGGACACACATGTGTACATGTACATGTACATGTTTGTGTACACAAGCGATCCCCACTTTCGCAATAAGGCATATCGTAAAATGGTTGCCTAGCGTTAAAAGTCAACATGTCTCAAACACTCCACAAACTGACAAACAGTTTGCTATAGTCACAAAACTACATGTACATGTACATGTACATCTATGCCAACAACAATCAAGTCAAACTCAATAACAAACAAGCCACACTCACCTTTAAAGATTTTCCTGTTTCGCTTCAGTTTAGGTTGACGTAGTTCAGTCTTAGGGTCTTCGTAAGAAATCTCCGCTAGAAGGATACCCTGGGGCTCCATGGGAATGCAGAGGATTGAGGAAGGAGTGCTGAGGAAATCCTCCAGTCTGAGGTAGAGGACACCACAGAGGGACTCACCCTCATCGTCACGGTAACGCACACATATCTCTAACTCTCTGTTCTGTTAGGGAAGGGGGGAGAGGGAGGGAGGGGGAGAGAGACAGACAGACAGACAGACAGACAGAGACAGAGAGAGAAAGGATAAAAGATAATGCAGTACATGGTGTTTATTTTATATGAAGTTTTAGAAAGGGAATTCTTAATGTCCCCAACAGCTGCTACAATAACAAACCATACACTTTATCCAGTCAACATAATAACAAACAGACATATGGCACTATGTACAGATCAAATGAAACCTCAGGTTTCTAATTTTATTGGGTGACCCATTAAAATTTTCAATGCTTACTCTGTCAAGCTCAAGGCGATATTGCTGCTCCCAGGCTGTGTTGCTTGGCGGACTCCATTTTGTTCGACCAACTTCTTTATTGTCCATTGAGAGAACTGCACATATTGTACCTCCTAATAATGTGATTTAATAAAATAGTCAAATAGTATAAGTGTGTACATAACACAAGTAAATAGCAATATCCTCCCTTTTCCTCCTCCCTCTCCCCCCTCCTTCTCTCTCTCCCTCCTTCTCTCCCTCCCTCCTCTCTCTCCCTCTATCTCTCTCCCTCTCTCCCTCCCCCCTCTCTCTCTCCCCTTACCAGGTAGAGCATCATCCAGGAGATCTTGAGCACTAGGTTGCTTCGAGAGGCTTCCCTTCAATTTGTTGTGTCTACTGCCTCCCCTGGGCCTGTTCCATGCCATTGTACTGCTACTGTAACCTGAAGTTGTTGGAGCACTTGATTCTAAATCCCTCTCTAAATCAGCCTAGAGATGAGAGAGAGGGGGAGAGAGAGAGAGGGAGAGAGAGAGAGGGAGAGAGAAAAAGGAGGGGGAAGGAGAGAGAGAGAGAGGGAAGGAGAGAGAGAGGGAAGGAGAGATAGAGGGAGGGAAAGAGAGAGAGAGGGGAGAGAGAGAGGAGGGGTAGAGGGAGTAAAAGAAGGTCACGTATCCATCACTTTCAAATTGTGCAATATTTGTATGCCTTAGAGTGACAATATAGACTAATCTCAATTAGAACCATCACACTGCAATCGTGCAAATATTCATGATGTCATACATACACTGTACACATCATGCAATTATTAAATTAACTAATTGCAATTATTACACATATACACGTACACGTGCATACATGTACATACATGTATACATATACACGTACATGCATGTACACATAGTCAAAATCAGAATTTAGTACCAGTTGGTAAAAGATAGTGTACAGTATACATGTACATGCATGATTGAACACAATCATATTATCATTTGTTATATGTATAATTGTACATGTATCTAGAAATACACTGTACATGTACATGTAAATTTTGAGAGGCCAATCTAGCTAAAAACGGGAGGCTTAAGGACAGCTAGGCTAAATATGAGAGACCGAAAGCTAAAAAAATTAAAGATTTAAGATGACCTAGACCACTCCTAAACTCTCTCTAGATCTCACAATGATTATCATTGTGCACTGTTCCTGCTATTATTATTACTATTATTATTGTTATCATTGTTGTTGTTATTATTATTATTGTTGTTGTTATTATTTACTTGAGGTGTTGAGTTGGATCTGTGTGATCTCGGTAGTGTCATTATATGGGAGAGAAGGCTCCCTGTAGTTGGTCTGGTATGAGAGCTAAGAGTGTCTAAACCATAATTCATCCTCAACGTGACAATATCAACCAGACCCTCACACCCGAGGAGCTTAATAGTGAGAGTCCCGGTGAGTTGGGCGGGGCGAGGGATCAAAATGGACGCCGGGTCCTCTTTGCTGTCTTCGGCTAAGTGGGGGAATTCAGTTAGTCGATTCTCGAGTGAGAGTTTTAATAGTTTTAGTTTTTGAGCCGAGAGTTTCTCATTCTCCCCAGCCTAAAAACAAATGCCCAGTAAATAACTACCAATAACTATTAAAAACTACTAATAACTATTAATAAACATCAATAACTACCAATATCTATTAATAACTTACAGTGGAATATGCTTTGCTGTTTGGATTAGCTCTCATTATTTTTCTCGCTCCTTCAATCAGTCGACTCTCCACATCAATACGGTACCTTATATAAGACACTCGTCCCTCAGGCTTTGACAAGAGGTTCCTACCGAAATGAGTATCTTCACCTTTCTCAGGAGAAGAACTAAGAGCACTCTTAGTTTTCATGATACGCATACGAAGTACTTCAATCTTGGTTCTTGAGTCAGAGTACATTTGCTGGGCCTCCACGAGGAGTTTACGATCTTTGGAGCTTTTGGCGTTGGAGTACATCTTGATCATGTTTTCGGCCCCTGCCTTGACTTTCTGTTCTATCTCCAGCTGCCTGTCAAGATCAGTTATGGCTTGGGATTGGTTGCTACGTCTTTGAGCTGGAGGGGAACCTGGAACTGGAACCTCAGTTGCATCTGTGAGGGAGAGGGAGAGAGAGGGAGGGAGAGAGAGAGAGAGAGAGGGAGAGGGAGAGAGAGAGAGAGAGGGAGAGAGGGAGAGGGAGGGAGGGAGGGAGAGAGGGAGAGGTAGGGAGAGAGAGAGAGAGAGAGAGAGAGAAGGAGAGAGAGAGAGAGAGAGAGAGAGAGAGAGAGAGAGAGAGAGAGAGAGAGAGAGAGAGAGAGAGAGAGAGAGAGAGAGGAGAGAAAGGGTAAATTGGAATATCAAAGAAAAGGAGGAAGAGACACGTCATTAGCATGTTAAAGTGTCTATAGGAAATGAATACACATAGAGATCATCAGGTGTGTATGGAGGAAATAAAACATTAACCAGGTAAACTACTCATGCAATACACTCCACACACATGTACATATAGAAACAGGAAAGCTAGAGTAGATGTAATACCGAACAATTTATGATTTATTAGCAAGGAATAAGTAATATTAGCAATTTGCAGCTCAGTAAAGAAAGTCCCAATATCAAATCCACAGCATTGCTTTATCTGCACGAGCATACTTGACGACACGTACATGTACATGTATACATGCATGTACATGTACGTTCTCATGTTCATGTGTTTATTTAAATCGTACATGTACATGTATATTGTTACTACTTTTGGTGCTTGTATTTTATCAGTATAGTGCTGTGTAAAAAAATGTTCTTAGGCTGACCTTCTTCATCAGGTACTTGTGCCAGTAGTGCTGTTAGATCAGACCTCAACTGATCGATCCTCTCAGTGCAAGTCTTGAGAATAGAGCCAACGTGGGCTCTGGCCTTTTTGTCCCTCGTCACTTTCAGTAGGTTCTCAGCTCCTTCTTTGATCTTGAACTCTTTCCGTATCTCGAGACGGAGTGACTCCTTCAGGGTGTCCAAATCTAGGGCATTACCGCCATCCATATCGAGGATCTGTTTCCAATTAAAGCCTGAGTACTTCAATAGTCCTTATTAGGTGTAACTAAGAGAGAGAGAGAGAGAGAGAGAGAGAGAGAGAGAGAGAGAAGGGAAAAGCAATTAATCACATGAATGAATTAAAGTATTAATATACACTAGAGTAGATTACAGTGTACAATATTGTACATAGTTATCAATAGTATCAATACATATTTTTTTTCAATTTGGTAATAGTAACAAACTAACAAAGATACAGTACATGCCAGATAAAACACAAAAAATATAGCATCACATGTAAGTACAGCGTACATGTACAACAAATAAATACATGTATACATACAATACATGTATCTACAATAGGAGAGCAGAAAGAGAAAGATAGAAATGATATGTATTAAGAACATGTACATGTACATGTATAGTTACATTGTACGTGATGTACATGTATCTCTCTCTCTCTCTCTCTCAAGTTGATGTGTTGAGTAAATTCCTGAGTAATGAGGTTCATTATTCCTGCGTGTGGAGGGTTGCCAGGACAACTAGCAACAAAGACGGTACAATGACCACTTACAATTGACAATAATAATAATAATAACTAGAAAAAGACACGCATACACACACTTGCATTGTACATGTAAAAGTAATTAAGTTTCCATTTAAGCAACAAATTCTAAGAGACAAAGATAAAAGGAGAGTAAGAGAGGGAATTTACCTCTTAACATGTACACAGCAACAACAATAATAATAATAATATTAATAATAATAATAATACTAATAATAATGATAATAGTACTAATGCTAAATACTAATAATTACTATTAACAATAGTACATTTGTAAATGGTAAATTAAATTAGAAAGTATACATTTCTATAAGGTAATGGTCCATGTACTGTACCTGTACTAACTTGCAACAAAAGCTAACAAAAGACAATGTATAAAGAGGTAAAGCAATTTATTAAGAGTGTCATCAAATAAATAAATAAATAATTAATCAAGATAAGATAGAGATATTATGCTCTATATACATGTATACATATTAATAATTGTCAGTTTTTAAAAGGTTGTTTTATTCTCTTTCTCTCTCTCACTATTTAGCATTAGTATGCTGATAGTAAACTAAACAAAAGCTAATAACATTAACAGAATGAGTGGACTTGTATTCTACAAGCAACTGTGTATCCCAGAGGCATTTAGTGAGAGTAAGAGAAGTAGTAACAAAGGAAAGAGGGAGGGAAAGAGAGGGAGGAAGGGAAGGAAAAACAGAGAGAGAGAGAGAGTAGTTAATTTCACTACAAACTCACAACCACCACACATCTACTGTACTGGTCACCCCTACACATTAAGAGAATTTAGAAGACATAGATGTACATGTACACGTACTGTATACATGCATATAGTCACTCATAATGTACCGTAATTAGCATTAAACTAATCCTTCCTCCTATTTCTCTCACTCTCTCTCGTTTCGCTCTATCTACATGTACAAGCAATTCATGTTTACACGTGCACTTATGAATGAACTCTCTCCTGGTTCAATTTCACTCTCCCCCTCTCCAACTCCCTCCCTCTCTCTCTCTCTCTCTCTTAGTCAAAATACATTGTAAATCTCTTCCTTTACTATTCCCCCATCTCTTACACTATAGCTACACAACATAGAATGATCACTTAGACTACAACTATCACCTCATGTCCAATTGTTCATACATATATAAGTACATGTACTGTACATCAGCAGTGTGTGTAATGTATGTTATACTTACAAGCTGGCCTCTCTTTTTCTCCGTGACAGCCACTAAGAAAACAAACAGTCGAACCAGCAAATAAGGAGTCCGGTAAGCAAGAAGAGGGCTCGCTTGCTTCCTCGGCTTTCTTGTAGTACCACAGAGACCAAATGTGGCGAAGCAATAGATGTACACTCGCCCGCCAAGAACTAAGGGACGAGGTGAGATCAGATGACATAGAATACAATAGTGCCTGGTTTACCTTTATGGAGGATAAAGGGAGACACAAAAGAGGGCGAAGATAACACGCAAAGCTCTTTAATTTCTCTCCCCTATCTCTCTTTTCTATCCTTTTCTTTTTAGCAGTGATACCGTAAATACAAACGATTTCTATTTTAAGGAATGCAGAAAATGTTACTGCAATTAACATGTAATGAATAAATAATGACGATAATGAATAATCAATGAATACAAAAGACAACTGTTATTAGCATTCTTTCTTTGATCTCTTTGGCAGCGGCGGGGAATCACCTGCAGGTGTGACACTGCAACTGACACTGCTTGAAGAGGCACTCTTGAACCAATTGTGAAGCGTTCCTTTCTTTTTGAGTCTATTAAAAATAATAAAAAATTAATAAAAATCATAACGATTAAAGTTTCCTTAAACACGGTGTAACTTTTACCTAACGGACACTTTGGGTCACGAAAGTTTGTCTGTTATAGGGTCTTAATGAGGAGGTTATTTTATACAGTAAGGAATGTATTGGTACACTAGGTGCTGTCTGTTTAATGGAGGTGTACGCTATATAGTGTTATTTAAGAAAGACTATCTAATCTTACTCCTTAAGTATACACTCCCTCTCTCTCTTTCCTTGTCCACTGTACTACTACGTGTGTGTATGTGACTCAACTCTTCATTAATCTTTACGACACATTCTGATGATTTATTCCTAACATTATTCACATAGCTGGACACTGGATGCCAACTCAGACTATCACTGCCTCTTGGATTGAAGCACCTAACGGCCTGTGACAATATAAAACAGAACAAATATACATGCATACATTTTAAGAGCATACGTGTAAATAAGCTCACTGTAATAAGTATACATGTATGTAGTTATGCAGTACTGTAGTTATGTAGTATTATACAAAATAAAACAGTACAAATATATATGCATGCACTTTAAATGTACTAATTCCATTTTCATAAATGCCGTATAGCAGGAAATTTTGGAGGGAGTTAAATTTGGCATTTTGATAGCCATTTGCAAAAATAAAAATCCACCTTTTTGGCACATGGCCACAAATTTACCATATTAAAATTCGCCAATCACCAAAATTTAGCAATTCGCCAAAATTAACTCCCTCCAAAATTCCCCACTATACAGTATATGTACATTGTACATGTATATGAACATGCTGTACATATGAATATGGTAGTTCATAGTATCGTTGTATTAACTTGAGATGTAGGAATAGATGTATCTAGCCACATAGAAATGGCAGTGTCATCTTCCAGAACAGCCTTTAAAAATAAGATAGCTAATAGCTCAGCAATATCTCTTACTCACTGGTAGACGATCGTGAATATCGTTAAAAGAGGGCGTAGCATCCACAGTAATAACAGTGTATGTGTACAATGAAGAAAGAGTATCCTGCAAGAATATAATAATAATAATAATAATAATAATAATAATAATAATAATAATAATAATAATAATAATGATAATAATAATGCACATAAGGGGCAAGCCTAAGCTAGGGAAGCATTTATAGACAGGACAGGATTTACTCATCTATGCTGTATATGTAGCTATCATATTCCCAGCTTGCATGATTTACAATGCAGGCAGAGCAAATATAAGATTAGCATGGATAATTTAGAGTATAAGTTACAGCTGATAAAATCACATATGATGATTTAAGTAACTTTTATCTTCTAGTTCAGCATGTACATGTACTTCTTGCCTTAAAAGCCTGTGAAGCTGTTTTACTTAATAATAATATTATTATTATTATAATATACACAATATAATCATCTCTATACCTCTGAAGAGAATGAGTCAGGAGTCCATACATCATATAGACCAGCTAATGTTAATAATCTGCTGCTGGGGGGAGGAGCAGGTGGGGAGAGGGCAGTAGCTTCTGACTACAAGTATGTAACAAAAAGCTTGAATTAAATATGATGGATAAGAGAGTTTTACAATAAAGCCAGGGCTTCCAGCTTTAATTTGTACACAAGCTTCTATTTGAGGGTTCTCCTATACTTTATACAGGATTATGTCACCTTAATGTATGCTACCTCAATGCATGTACATGTACACATAGACCCTATACAAGCTCTACCTGAGCTAGAATACATGTATGTACGGTATATGTACTTATACATGTACATGTACAGTACCTTCTTGTCAAGACTAAGAGCTCCGTCTTTAAAATAAACAAAATATGGCTGCTTCTCTTTCTTCTTCTTATCTCTTTTCCACTCGTAGAAACTAAACACACAAAAACCCAATAATCTTTCACCTGCCACCCCTCCCCTCTCTCTCTCTCCTTACCCCTGACAAAGAACCACACATCTCTGTCTCCTACTAATGGCTGGTCTGAAAGAAGGCTTGTCAAACATACCATCAAATCTACAGTTGTTCAATAAAGTAGGGAAGGACTTGCAGTCTGATCCGCGATGCCATTGTGGGACAAGACCCCACTTCATTACCTGATGAGAAAAAGACAGCAATAATAATGACAGAGAAACATCAAACTGAATAACAAACTTCTATTTTAAAAACTAAATTTAATATAGCTTAATTATGTACTGTATAATGCAATTATAAAAACTTCCATATAATTTTGATGATTTTTGGTTCTCAAAAATTTCTTTTATTCTGTGGTTCCACTGAACTGCAATTTGGCAGCATACTCCAGGTATACTCGTTAATGAAATGGATAATTAGGTATAGAGGGCCATACTCAGTCTAGTAAAACCATAATGGTCACAACAAGTTAATTAATAAATTAGTTTAAAGGCAGACGTCATGTCTAAGAACAGCTGTAATATAATTAAATATCATCTTCACTCTGCACCCCTGGGATGGCAAGACTTTAAAATTAGAGTAGCTACAGTATAGGAAAAGGTTTGATAGCATTATGTTAGAAATAAAATAAAACTTATTTAATATAGTTAAGGACACCATAGGGCCCACACTACCTGTCCTTAATACATTTACAGTGTAGCCTCTTTATTAAGGACACCATTGGGCCCACACTACCTGTCCTTAATACATTTACAGTGTAGCCTCTTTATTAAAGACACCATTGGGCCCACACTACCTGTCCTTAATACATGTACAGTGTAGCCTCTTTATTAAGGACACCATTGGGCCCACACTACCTGTCCTTAATACATGTACAGCGTAGTCTCTTTATTAAGGACACCATAATTTGGGCCCACACTACCTGTCCTTAATACATGTACAGTGTAGTCTCTTTATTAAGGACACCATAATTTGGGCCCACACTACCTGTTCTTAATACATGTACAGTGTAGCCTCTTTATTAAGGACACCATTGAGCCCACACTACCTGTCCTTAATACAGAAGTGTCCTCATTCCAGAGGCACTTTTGCATAGGTTTGTATCAAATGGGACATTACAAAATGAAGTGGTCAAAATGGGAAGTTCTACATGTACATGTACACATGAGTGTATTTATGTATACATAATTACTTAACATTTTATAAGTGGCTAAAGCACTGAAAAACCAATGACAACAAGAATGACAAATATTTAAAATGTTTACCCAACAAAACTTCCCTTGCCAAAATGATAATATACCCAACACTCTATGATCATGCACCGTTACTAATTAGCAACATCATGATTAGTAATTAATTAATAAAATAGGCTGATCAAAGGCAGTAATTAATTAATGGACATGTACATGTACATGTACATGTACCTGTATAACTCTCTCCGTCTTTTCTTCGTAGTCAGACAACAGCCTCTGTACATGATGATGCTGATCAGATATCAGAACTGGACTATAATACAATAATAATAATAATAAATGATATTTTTTTATAATTTAATCCAAGTTATTAATAAATTTAATTTAACAAAGCCACGCCTTTTAATTAATGGCCACACCCATTTTCTGCCATTTTATAGTTTATTTACGTGTTGCTTTGAGGGGCTACGTTATATGATGGATAATACTCCTGTCCTTTATTAGCTGTGATCCAAACTGGTTCCACTACAGTCGAAGAGGCGCTTTGGCTCTCTGCTGCAGCCTTTGAACAGTTGTAGGAACAAGCGCGACGAATATCTTGCGGATCTAAAGCACTAAACAGAGAAAAAGGTGGAGGAAATTCGAGGGAAAAGTAGAGAAAAAAGGAATCAAGAAGACAAATTCTCACCAGGCACAACGTCCACACATGCTTAGTTTCCCACCACCACCTACTGCGCATGCTCAGTCGAGCCCCACCCCTCGTGCTGACCTGCAGTCCCTTGGAGAGGTGGAACATGAACAAAGCAACTTCTTTACTGCTAGTTGGATCCATCTCTGTCCTCCTATACCTCAATACTCTTGGTGCAGGCTTTGTTTTTGATGATCACCGCGCCATATTGACCAATGATGACTTGGACAGCAAAAAGACATCGATTTACGAGCTTTTCAGTCATGATTTCTGGGGAGGAGGCATGCACCGTAAAGAGAGCCACAAATCCTATCGACCATTGACTGTTATAACATATAGACTACTAAATTATGAGTTTGCAGGGCTGGAACCGTTTGGTTATCATCTTGTAAATGTTATACTTCATGCAATAGTCTCCATGCTCTTCCTCCAAGTTGCTGAAATTGTTTTGGGGCCTCATGGAGACAAAGAATGGTCTACCATGGCTGCACTGTTATTTGCAACGCACAGTATTCACACAGAAGCTGTAAGCAATTGATTTAAGATATTATGCATTCCTAACTACTTCAAATAGGTTGCCAGTGTTGTTGGCAGGGCAGAATTACTTGCTTGCATTTTCTTTCTCTTCAGCTTTCTCTTCTACTCTCAAGCCATAAATACCCATTCAAATTATAGTAGTGCTTATACATTTCTATCAATAATTCTTGGATTCTTTTCTATGCTGAGTAAAGAGCAAGGTATCACAGTGCTAGGTGTATGTGGAGCATATGACGTGCTGGCCCATTGGAATAGTCTATTAAATATGTGCTGTAAAATTTTTAAAAAAGGAAAGGAGAGATTTGAAATTCAATCTGACTGTAGAGATGTCATCAAGAGACTGTGTATATTAATTATTTTGCTAAAATTATTGTGTCATTTATTTTGCAGGTTTTATTGCATTATCTGGGGCCATTATGATGTGGTTCAGGATATCAATGAATGAAGGAACTGATCCAATATTTAAACCAGAAGAAATGAGAGCAGCCTTTCATCCAAACAGACTAGTCAGGTTAGCATAAACATCATTAATTCTCACTAAACTCTTATATTCATGTTATGTAGAATTTTCAGTTTTAGTAATATATATGTATGGAATATATTGCTACTCATATTCCCTTCATCGTTATGCTGTGATTGGTCCCTTGGATCTCTTCCTATAATCGAAACACTTTATGATGTGAGAAATATTTGGTCATTAATACTCTACATTGTGCTAGGGCTGTTAATTATATCTACATTAAGGTATTATGCTGTAAATTGGAGCTATTAATTCATTAATTATACTGCTAATAGAGGAGATACTGTAGTTGGAATTGGGATGTCGTTTCTTTTGATACCGTTTTTACCTTCAGCTGGAATTATTTTCAAAGTTGGTTTTGTGATAGCAGAAAGGTATCAATGTGTAATACATGCTGTAGTAATGTCTGCTATTGTAGAGTGCTGTATTTACCAAGTCTTGGTTATTGTCTTCTACTTTCTGTCGGTGCAGAGCGACTCAGTAAAAGAATTTATAATAAAGTACCCAGATATAATAGCTATTATAATAATCATTTTTAATTGATTTTTTTAGAAAATTGTTCAAATTGCTTTAGTATTTGTACTAATATCGATGTCAGTAAAGACAGTTTCACGAAATTGGGTTAGCAATGAATCCTGCATATATCATCACCAACTACAAATCATTTATTTACATAGGATTGGCATTCGGATTTGTCCCTGTTTGAATCAGGAGTTAGAGCTAATCCAGGCAATGTGAAGCTACACAACAACTATGCAATGGAGCTCAAGTCAGCTGGAAGGTTTAAAGAAGCAGAAAAATATTATAAAGTAACTGAATGGTTATCATATACAATAACAGCAATAGTGCATGTACTTCACAGTATGTGTTTTTGTATTGATAGATTGCAATGGAAATAGAACCAGATTATGCTGAAGTGTATTTCAACTATGGAAACTTACTCTCTGAAACTAAAGACCACAAAGGAGCTCTTCATTAGTATGAAGATTGTTTATTAAATCAATATTATCATTATATTGCTTTAGTTTTGAAAAAGCAATGTCATTCCCTCACATGTACAGCAAGACTCTTAACAATGCAGCAACTATGTACTTCAAACTTGGTATGTACTTGCATGTGGTAGTTGTAATGTACTTTATTTATTTGCAACTGTATCTTTTTGCTGTACAATGCATGCATGCATAGGAAGATACACAGAGGCTGAAAACAAATTTAAAGAATCATTAGAGATTAATCCTGATCAACCAATGACATACAATAATCTTGGTATGATATTAAATATTTGTCATTATCTTTAACTTTTTCTTTAGCTAGTTTGTACGGAGAAACAAAGAGGTACAAAGAGTCTTCAAGAATGTTTAAAAAAGCAATAGAAATGAATCCTGGCTACACTGAGGCTTACTTCAATTATGGTTTGCATGCAAAAGATATGTTTTTTAATGTTAATTTTTAATTTTTATAGGTACTTTGCTGTATCAAATGGGCCAAGTAGATGAAGGAGAGAAACATTTAAGACATGCTTTAAAATTGAACCCAAATCATCATGGGGCACTGAATAACCTCAAAGTGATTGAATATTATAGAAACAAAGGACAGAAATAATTCAAAAAAATAATTCAGCAAAAAAATAATAGTTAATTAACTATTAATACAATAGTAAATTAAACTTGGGTGTGGTTTGGAAATTAAATAACTAAATTTAATTATCAATGGAATCTTTTCTTGAGCTTCTGTTGTCTCTCACGGAGAGATCAGGTGTCATAGCCCGGCTTATACGGGGAGATAAGGATCTATTTGGTAGTCTGGTTGAAGAGAAAAGTGGAAAAGCAAAGAACCAGAGATTTGAAGTGGATTTTAAGACCTTGTCTGATACTTTGATACAAGAGCTATTCAAGCATTTTATTGGAGAAAAAGTAAGGAAAGAGATAGTATAATTAAGAACATATTAATATATGTATGTAGCATAATTTCATAATAAAAATTTTCATGATACATTCATGCAAGTTTTAGATTTAACAAATCTTTTCCAGTCAAAATTAGATTTTTTATAAATTTTTAAATTTATGACAAAGTACCCTGTACTATAGTACTGGGTATTTTGTCAAAAATGGCAAGGAGAGAATTCTCCATTTTTATAATTTTTTCTGATACATATACATGTTTTTATGTTGTGCAGCAAGTTTGAGCTGATTCCGATCAAAATTGAATTTTTTATAAATTTTAAAAGTTACTCAAAAATTGGGTCAAAATCCCTGTACTACAGTACAGGGATTTTGTCAAAATTGGCTATAAGAGAATTCTCCTTGTACATGCACTTAGTACTTATGTTGTGTAGCTGAATCTGTCCCTAGTATTGAGTACAAATCTCAGTTCTAAAATATTAAAATCTACTCTTTTCCTTGACAGTTTCCGCAACTAAAAGGTTTCATATTTGGAGAAGAAACTAACACCTTTACCCTCTCTAACGGAGAAAATGTAACAATAGAAATTGGACCGACTCCTGTAGACACAGCTCACATGCTATCACGATTACTAGATCCAAAATTGGCCGGGGTCCTAGTGGAGACTATCCACAAAGAAATGAAGACATGTTTGAAAGAAGAAGACAGAGAGAAAGTCAAACTCCTCAAATATTTGGACGAAAGACAATTGGGAGTCTGGATTGACCCATTAGGTACGAAAATTATAATTATTATCAAGAGTAGATAATCTACTCTTGTTATTATTATTATTACTGTTTTAATTTCAGATTGACCTTTTATAGTAGATATAACAATTATATAATTGCTTTATTTATTATTATTATTTTAATTATAGATAGCACTAATGAATATGTGAGAGGTGTCACAGGCTCCAGTAGCGATGGACTCTATTCCCAATCTATTCACTGTGTCACAACACTGGTGGGCGTGTTCGATCGTATCACAGGGAAACCACTAATTGGTGTCATCAATCAGCCGTTTCATTCTACTGATAGTGAGGGGGTGTGGTGTGGGTGGAGCTTGTGGGGAATCAGCGAGGAAGGTTTAATTGGAATGTCCTCACCTCTGATCCCTGGTAAGTGCTTATGAATGATTATATTTCTACTATAATTTTATTTCTATTTTTTTAGTCAGGAAAGGTGACAATTTAAGTAAAAAAATCTGCTTGGTAAGCAGCAGTGAAGATTCTCACTTACTTGATAAACTTAATGCAAGTACTGAATGGAGGACAATTAATGTATCTGGGTGTGGCTACAAACTATTATCAGTCATTACTGGCCTTGCTGATGCATATGTATTGAGTAAGGACTCTTCCTTTAAATGGGACACTTGTGGACCTCATGCAATACTACTAGCAATGGGAGGGAATCTAGAGCCTTTTGTAAGGCAAGGAGAAGGAGGAGGTGAAGTGTTATATCATTGTTGTGGTGAAGGAGAGGGAAGCAAATGTTGGGCAAACAAGGACGGGATTATTGCCTATTTATCCAAAGATGTTGTGAGCTCTTTGCTCTCAGTAATAGACTAATGATCATGAGCATTTTTTAAACAAATTGTGAACAAACCCAACCTTATTATAATTTAAATTTCTTTGTTATGTCAGATGAATATTATGTCACAATCATAATCATTGCTCTCTGTCTTTGGACAGTTTTAATTAATTACCAAAGTTTATTTTGAGCTCTTTACTCTCTGTAATAGACTAATGAGATAAGGGTTTTAAAACGCATGCATTTATTATATAAGTGTCATATTGAATATCAATCACACAACCATTGCTGTCAATCTTAGATTAAAATGCTTTAATGCCAAGTTTCATTTCTATGCAACAAGTTTAAACCAGACTTGCTAATTTTTTCATTAAATTTTATATCGTGCAGTGCATCTCTGATCAGCAATAAATACAATCTGAATTTAAATTCAAAAAAATTAAATTCAGCTAATATAAACTATAAAATGATGCAAAAAGTATAGATTTATATAGCAAAGCTGTAAACCAAACTGTAAAATTACATTTTCATGTCCATACACAACATATAATAGTTACATGTACTGGTATATAAACTATTGTAATGCTCCCCGGCCATAACTTTGATGGGTACGATTGCAGCAGCAAATTCTACAATAGCCCATTATAACTGACATTAAAATCCCTATGATGGCAAAGAGGTATGGTCTTGAAGCTTGATAAGAGAGAAGTTGGTTGTAGTCAAAATTTTCTTGGTTCATTCTTGAAAGCACCTCCTTGGTACAACTAGCTAATTGACCTTTATATTTTTGCAACTCAGATTCACAACTCGTATGTCCTCCTTTTTCATACTTGTATGACATTGACTCTCTTGATAATTGTACTCGACATTCGTTCAGTTCTTGTAGATAACTTTTGCAGTCTTGGTTGTAAATGAGGAAAAATATAATTCCCACTAGTGCTGCCACCAAAATACCAAAACCAATGCAAGTCCGTGTAAGCATGTATAGTGGAACTGGAACCTGCTCTTTCTCAGCCATTTCACTCACTGTTTTATACTCTGTATTGTATAACCAAGCATACTAAAACTATAGTAATTTAGAGTAAAGGTGCTCACCTTATCAACAAAGACAATAATATTCAGTCAATATTAGATTTTTGAGCCTAAAATGATTTAAGCATAGGCAGAAACACCCTTTTTTGTAAAATCAGAAGCGAAATAAACAGCAACCGATCGTTTCTTAGAATTAATGAATATTGTGTGCAATACATAATAAATACTATTTATAGTATTCATTATCAATGGTAGAACTTGATGTTACATTTATTCACTTCCTTAATAGAAGAATTTTTAAAGCTGTTTATTTATTTTAACAATAATTTTTAAATCTCAGTTTGAATATCTATTACATGACCATCATCATCAGTCTTAGGACAATGTTCTGTATAGTGACACATCATTTCAGTTAATATCTTGCTTACTTCACTCAATTTAAACAACAAGTGCAATAAAGAAAGTTGTTTCTTTTTTCAGCTTTAAAAGCAGACAGTGATACGCTAGAAGCAATGTCTTGAGGTAAGAGAGACATAAGAAATGAAATCTCTCCTTTTCTTGGTGTTTAAAAAATCAATTCTTGACCAAGTGGTGTATAGAATACTGTCCTGTTCTCGTAAAAATAATATTTAACTATAGAATTATGTTAGCTGTTAAAGCTAATGCCAATGAACCACAAATCACATGCGTATACACGACTTCCTTCTGAACATATTTTTTGAGCATGTGCACTATTACCAATTTTTACTTGGTTGTACACATCTTGATACAAACATGACCTGTCCAATTCCTTGTATTACGTGCAATGGTTTAATTGCTCTGAATGCATTTGGATACTTTGAGGTATCTTGTGGCTCAGTTATAATGGTTTCATCAATACCTAATTATATATATGCATGACTAGATCAACAAAATTTGTAACGCAACAATAGAAATAACAAGTCATTATTGATTACACAAAGTTCAAAGCAGATTCTATATAAAAAGGCATAGTATAACTAAGCTGCCTTTGGTTCTAGACTATTTTTATAAAAAAAATAGCAAAAAGCAATGAGAACAAGAAGTCCTATTACAATGCAGACAACTAGCATTATGGCTTTGTACCAAATTAGATCATCCTTGTCAGATTTATCTTGGTTAATTTGACTTTTACATTCTTGCAACTGAGCTAAACAACTTGTATGCTCTTCTTTTTTATGAAAGAATGACACCTCTGATGATGTTAGTTTTACTTGACAATTGTGTGTTTCTTGTATATGAGCGTGACACTCTTCAAAATATAGCTGCATAAAGAGAACCGCAATTAAGATTATGATTAATATACCACCAACAACAAGAGTCCCTAAGAACACAGGCAGAGGTATGCCCCAGTGCCTTTTCTCTTCTACTTGAGGATCCCTATTATCAGCCATTTCAAACGCAGTTGTTTTACTCTTGCAATTTTGGCATGCATGCAATGCATTACATGCAGACACACCCAAAATATGCTCATATGCATGCATGCAGAGCAGCACAGATACTTTCTTTCCTCAGAAATTTTAAAGATGCATGTTTATTCATTTAACAATAATTTTTTAATATCTACCAGACTATCGTTATCAGTCCTTGGACAATGTTCTGTATATTGGCTCATCATTTCAGTTAATATCTTGCTTGCTTCACACAGTTCAAACAACAAGTGTAATAAAGAAAGTTGTTTTTCGTCAGCTTTAAATGCAGGCAGTGATATGCTAGAAGCAATGTCTTGAGGTAAGAGAGACATAAGAAATGAAATCTCTCCTTTTCTTGGTGTTTCACAAAACAGTTCTTGATCAAATGAACCATAAAATACCGTCTTGCTCTCTTAAAATAATTAATTATTAATTATGTTTATTGAACTACTTGGCATACCTTGTTTTGAGGCTTCTGTTAATTTTTTTAATCTCTCAAGTCTTGGGTGAATAATTTTGAGTATAAAGTGATAGAAATCGTTAATATTCATACCAGCATCAGACCTTAATATAACCTACAGTTATCATCAATAGCTAAAATATCAAATAAACATTTACTTGACATTGCTCTGACCAACCCTCCATACTTCTGCAATCATCAATCTCTTTCTCTACCTGATTTGAATTGAGTTTATCATTAATTGATGTCTATATTATGATATACCAGTATTAATTCTGTCTTTAAGTATTTCCATGTGTATGCAATACCGAATCCATTAGTCCAGTTATGATTGATAGATATAGTATCTTCCTACACACAGTAATGCAATTAATAATGAAATTATGCTGATAATAATAATAATAATTGTAATAGCTAAGTTAATTACCAAATTTTTCACTTGATGATGCCAGCCACTAATAAAATTGAAACATTAGCAATAAAAACATGAGTAACATAATAAGTACTATACACCTTGGTACAAAGATGGCCTGTCCAATTCCTTGTATTACGTGCAATGGTTTAATTGCTTTATGTGCATTTGGATACATTGAGGTATCTTGTAGCTCAGTTCCTGTTACATCAAGAGGAAGGTTACCATATTTATCTCTTAGATGCTTCTCCTCTCCTGGAGGATATATCAGCCATTCCTTGAGACCACAGACATTAACTGACCAACTATATGATCTATAATAAAAGCAACTGTACTATATAGTGAAGTTTGAGTTACATTAACACATTTAATGAGACATGCATATCAATCTCAAAATTTCAATACACATTATTAGCTTGCAGGCATTTCCCAGAAAAAGTCCCAAAACATATGTTTGTATAGTTACAATGTACAATGTATGCTATAAATAACATGCAATAATAAAAAACATATTGTAAACGTACATGTGTATAGACTACTGCATAAACGTGTATAATGCATAAAATAATAAAAAACACTGTATCACATTCACATCATTGTATTACTGTATAGTATATACATGTAGGAAACTTGAGAGAGACAAAAAATTCATGGATCCATGCAGTCAAAAAGTTATTTTTGCAGATTTAATTTTTGATTGATTTACAGTGGCAGGAGCCCTCAGTTGGTGTTTGAGTTTTTACTGCCTGTACATCTTGGTTCCTTCTATGCACCTCTTGTTCTACTCCATCTTCTTCTAAATCTCTTCTTACATAATCATCATCAAGCATACGTTAATTTGATTGTGAGTTGTATGGATTCTGTTACTATACTACACTCATAATTTGAAATAGTGACACCCAAAATACAATTGGCATCTTTGAACACCTTTGGTATAGTTTATGACATACTTATCTTGGCCAGCAGTGATCAAAAAGGTCTGACAACATCACCACAAGTTTTGCTTCTCCTATACGTTATTTATTATAAGTTATTATGAATCAATAATGATTTGGTATTAGATAGAGCTATAGCAAGGAACCTACACTATACAAACAACCGAATTCCGATGAGAAGATCACTAGATTATTAGAATGTAACTATACATACATTTTTGAGAATTAAGTTCTTCAGTTGTCATCAGACCTACCACAGTCTGAGTGCAATTTGCCAATAGTCGGTCCAGACAGTAGCTATGTCTCTCCTGTTAGTGGTTGTTCTCTTATTCTTCAGCAGCTCCTGCAGTGCCTCCTCTGGTCAGTATTATGTGTCTGATGACTGCAGTTCAGTTACTCAGTCACCTTGTAATCCTCTATCAGTGTATGCTGCGGATATGTCTCGATCCAATAACACCATCTTCTACTTCATTGGAACCACTACCATCAACGATGATGTTATCATGACTGCAGTAACGAATGTTACTCTACTCGGACTTGACCAGTTTCCTAGTGTTTACTGCAACAAGTCATCTAATAGCATTTCAGTACATAAAAGCACTCATGTCACTATTTCGAACTTATCGTTTAGTTATTGTGCAATGAGGATTGGTTCATCTAACAATATTACAATAACTAACTCTACCTTAGACTTAGACCTTGATATATCAGAGCATTTAAATATATATAATGCTTTTGATGTTAAGGTATCATCGTCAATATTTACTAATGCTTATGTAGTTATTACATATTCTGATTTTGAAGTATGCACTAATGAACTACACAATTACTCATTGACAATGACTGATGTTACCTTGAAGGACAGTAGATTGGATCTATATGTGAAACAGCATACCTCATACAATGTATCAGTCATCTTTGACCATGTTGAGTACAGCTTTGGTAATAGCTTTAATTATGCACGTGGAAATATCTTAACTTTATTTTTTGAGGGTCTTTTTCATTTTTTTATTACCAATTCATCATTCTGTGGCATTCATGGACATAGTTTTAATATCCAGTTTGCTGAAACAGGACTAAGTTCCACACATCATGGTACTCCAAATTCCACTATTGTAATTGAAGACAGCCAATTTTATAATATGGAACAAGGGCTGAAGATCAATGGTAACAGGCATATACATTTATCTGAAACAGTCAAGTATCACGTTATCATCAAGTCATGTTTGATATATGACAATATTAAGGAAGGATTATTTATTGATGGAGAGTTTTTGAGATCAACCCAAATTGATATAATAGACACGAAACTTATTGGAAATGGAGGAAATAAAATAATAAGAGTAGCAAACTGTATACTTGATTCTATTAGTCTCAGTGATGTTACTGTTGCTAACAGTACTTCAACAGGATTGACACTTTTAAACTCATTTGTAAGAGTTATGAATAATTTAATATTCAAGAACAATACTGGAATCGTTGGAGGAGGATTGGCAATAAATGACTCATCACGATTGATAGTATCATCATCAGCTAACTTGGAGTTTATTGATAACCATGCTTCTTATAAAGGCGGAGGGATCTATGCTAAAGCATATTATTCTATAATTTTAAATGCACCAAATATACCTCTTACATTAATAAATAGTAGTGCTGGACTGGTTGGTGGTGATTTGTATGGATATTATAGATCAAATGTACACTATTATAAGTTTAACTTGACAAAACCACACATAAGTTCAACAAGTGATGCAGAAAATATATGCTTTTGCGATCCTCACACTAATAAATGTCTAGCTAATTATGGATACAGACCTATTATCTATCCAGGTCAAGCATTGAAGTTTAATGTGGTTTTGCTTGGCTTTAATTATTCAAAATCACAAACTCCCACAGATGGTACAGTGAAAATACTTAATAACACCAGCTCCTTGCTATATCAAACATATATTCCCAATACTTGTTCACTTATTCAATACACACCAAAGCTGAATCAAACTGGATATGAAAGTTACTTAAAACTTGCATATTCTACATCATTGAGCATGACCACAAGTATTAATTTTAATTTCGCTGTTAATGAGTGTCCTATTGGTTTCAGGATAGATAAGTCACAAGGTTTCTGTACTTGCAGTCAAAGTGTTTCAAGAGAGAATGTGACATGTGATATAACTAGTTTGAACATCGCACACAATGGTCTACTGTGGATTGGAACATATCATACCAGTACACCTTTCAATGCTAATGCAACCAATCCTAATGCATGCATTATCAATGAGGACTGTCTCCTCTATTGTTCTCCTAATCCTGTTACCTTCAAGTTGAATGACACTGATACTCAATGCGTGGATAATAGAGGACACAGAATGTGTGGATCATGTACAGAGGGATACAGTCTACTAATGGGATCAAACAAGTGTGGACATTGTCATGATAATTACACGATGATAGCTTGGATTGCTCTGTTTGCAGTGATGGGTGTACTACTTGTGGTTCTACTGATTGCTCTCAATTTAACAGTATCAGTGGGTACACTCAATGGTCTATTGTTCTATGCTAACATCATCAAGTTATACGAGCCAGTCTTTTCAAGGAAAGGAGCATTACCAGTCTTGAGTCAAGTGATATCATGGATTAACTTGGACTTTGGGTTTGAGATATGTTTTTATAATGGCATGGACAGTTATGCTAAACAATGGCTCCAGTTTGCTTTCCCCCTCTACCTGTGGATCATTATCATCATCATTATACAACTGAGCAAGAGATACGGTAAGATATCAAGACTGATGGGGTCTCATGCTGTTCCTGTTCTATCTACACTCTTTCTTCTCTCATATACTAAACTAGTTCGTACTATTGTTATTGTACTACACAAGCGTGAGGTAACTGTTCACTGTACAAATGAGTCAGTAAGATCAGTTAGTTTATGGTATGAGGATCCTAATATTGAATATACTAAAGGTAAGCATGCTGGATTATTTGGATTTGCCCTATTGGTGTCCGTTGTCTTTGTTATACCGTACACACTTTTCCTCCTTCTCAATCATTTTTACGAGAGGTATTATTCAAATTTCAAAGTTTTCAGAAAATTTTATAGTCGTTTCAAGCCTATTATTGATGCTTATAGTGGTCCAATGAAAGATGAGTATCGGTTCTGGCCAGGTCTACTGCTAGTGGCTAGGATACCAGTACTATTATCAGTTACTTTAGTTGACAGTTTCATTCAGTCAAAGCACTTCCTATTGTTTATATTATTGACAGTGTTAGTTATTGTGCTATCATTGAGTCATTGTTTTGGTGGAGTTTACAAGAAGAGAATGAACAATGTACTTGAAGCTTGGTTCTTGTTTATGTTGTGTACCATGGTTGGTCTATCTGTAGCTCTTAATGAAGACGGTGAAGTATTGATCTGGTACAATACTTGTTTATCTGTTTTTGTTTTTAGTTTTATTTTGATTGTTGTTTATCATCTTTACCTGCAGTTACCACATATGAAATGTTGTGATGCTTCAATCAAGAAGTTATTCAAGAAACAAGATAAAGAAGATGACTGTCCTCTTTTGGAGACGACTGAATCACATTTAACTGTTGATCAACAAATAAGAGAAATAGTTCCAAGTTCTACTGATGTTAGGCTCAGTAAACCTCGTGAATCAGTTGTTGACTTATTTTAGTATTTTTTGCTGTCAGTTTTATTAATCATTAGTATTCGTAGTTATTAGTTTCAGAAAAATAATAATTGTCATTTAGAAAGCTAAGTTATAATTACAGTCTCTATTAAACTATTAAAACTGTTTTTTTTTATTTAGTTTTGTAGTTTCGAATTTACATATATACCATTTTAATAATAAGTAGAATGTCATGAAAAGCTATCAGTTACTCTTCATTGTGGTACACCGAGCTCTGGATGCTGTATTTTCATGGATATGTTTGTAGCAATATTTTTTTGCTATTGCTATTATTTGTTAATCATTATTTGTTTAGGTTTAGTGAGCTGTCAAAACTACATGATAAAATAATTTTTAACAAAAAAGCAACTGTACTATAAGGCATGGGCAGCTCGAAGGCAGGAGCGACACACGGAAATGTGGGGAGTAGCGGTTCAAGACCGACCCCAGGCAGTACCCTAGGTTTTGGGTGAGATATAAAGCGTGCGGCATTCGTAATACATGCTAAGATGGAGGGTCGGGAGGCCGGACGTCTGTACAGGTGAGTAAAACCTTTGACGCAAACTAACAACCAACGGTAGGGTGAAATACCTGCAGGTAATAATAGTTAGTTGGGGGGTGTATTAGGGTAAACCCGGAGATGCATAGTCGAGAGGCCACAATTCCACTGAAACAAGGGGGAGGCTCAGTATAGAGGCAGCAGTAGAGAATATTGTACAATGTATGAAAGTACGATACAGGGAGAACGCGAATCCGGTGGGGCCCCTCGGGGATCCATTGGTGTAAGCCCGTCAAACGAGTATGCCAGCAGGCGCGGTTATTTACAGGGGCTGAGTTTTATATGGTGGGGCGTAAATAGTGTAACGATGGGTGGTGAGTCCCATAAAGGGATACCAAGTAAAGTTTGAGTTACATTAGCACATTTAATGGGACATGCATGGTCAGCATATCAATCTCAAAATTTTAATACACATACATGTTAGCCGGCAGGCATTTCCCAGAAAAAGTTCCAAAACATGTTTGTATAGTTACAATGTACAATTTATGCTATAAAAAACATGCGATAATAATAGATATACTGTACATGTACATGTGTATAGACTACTGTATAAATGTGTATAATGCATAAAATAATAAAAAACACTGTATCACATTCACATCATTGTATTACTGTATAGTATATACATGTAAGAAACTTGAGAGAGACAGAAAATTTCATAGATCCAGTCAATAAGTCATTTTTGCAGATTTAATTTTTGCTAATCAAAGCATTTGGCCATCTTGTACCATATTATCTCAGGTTTAGACATAAATTGGTTTATTTCTAAGATCAAAACTAGTTTCAAAGGCTATTGATGCCATAAAATATTGTTTCTATTGATAAAGTACTAATAAATTTACAGCTAAAATGACATAAATAACCTTCTATTTAAACTATTAATAACACACTTAAATTCAAGCCTTAATCTATTTTCTTCAGTTCACTATTTGAACCTAGTTTAGGGCCACGATTAAAAAAGCAGCAGAATATTATTAAAGTTGGAATAGCTATCAAAATGTAGCCGTGTAATCTTCCTGTTTCACAAGAAGCAAGTTGACTTTTGAGATAGCTATTTTCATCATTGCTTGAATCCCTTTCCTTGATATAATTATTTACTTTCCCTTTACACTCTTTCAGTTCCTTTTGCCAAATTTCGCACACTCCTTCTTTACGATCACAAGTTTTTACTTCTTCTTGAGCCTTTGACCACAGCCTTTTACACTTTTTCAGTTCATTCTGACAAATGTTGCACTCTCCTTCTTTACGATCACAAGTTTTTACTTCTTCTTGAGTCTTTGACAACAGCCTTTTACACTTTCCCAATTCATTATGACAAATGTTGTACTCTCCTTCTTTACGATATAACTGCATTTTTTCTGAATTACAGGTTTTCACTTCTCCTTGAGCTTTTGATAATTCTGTTTTATGAGTTGTCAATTCATTGCCGCAAGTTTCCAATTTGTAGCTACAGGTTTGCAAGTCCTTGATACAAGTCTTATAATCTCCTCCTTTCAGAAGAGAAGACCGTGATTCTTCTGATAATAGTGTGCTACATATATTGAGTTCTCTTTTGTACTGTGCATTGAAATAAGCAAAAAGGATGAGTGACACTACAAACCACACTACTCCCACAACACTACAGGCAATGAAAAATCTTGATTGATTTCCAATGGCAGGATTTACTGCCTGTACATCTTGGTTCCTTCTATGCACCTCTTGTTCTACTCCATCTTCTTCTTCCCTTCTTACATAATCACGAGCATAATCATCATTACAGGGGGCAGCCATTTTGATGATTAATAATAGTTAATAATAGTCCACCAATTAAAGTTACCATTAAGTTTAAATTCTAGTTATTATAGTCTCTCAATCTCCACCTTTTCTGTTTCTTTTTGTATAGCACAATTTTTCAAGGGTTGCAAATTTCACAGATGCATTTAGTTCAGCGTAAATCAATTTATTATGGTGCAAGATGACAGACAGTATAATTTAGCAAAAATTAAATCTGCAAAATATAGATCACTTATGCATGCTTTTGCTAATACGAGCCAAAAATTAACAGCAAGAAGAAAAATATGCCAATATGCATAAACTAGTAGTTTAATAATCAACTAACCGGAAAACATCAACATGAAATGGAGTCCTATAAATGCAAGGAAGTAATTATAGTAGCATAATTATTATTGCAATTAATACCATGTTCCTTTTGGCCCCATGTATACAAAACGATAATCGTCCTTCACTTGATGGTGATCCTCTGCTCCAGGAGACTCCTGATCCCATACTTCATTTAACCAGTCAATAGAGAAGACATGAGGTGTAGTGTATAGGCCATAATTAGGATAATCTCTGTAATTGTAATAATAATGCAGTATTTCGGAATATTCCATACTGAAAATTGTCTTGGGGCAAGTTTTGCCAAAATTGAAAAGGAGAGAATTCTCTATTTTTATAATTTTTCCTAATACATATATACATGTATGTACTTATGCTGTGTAGAAAGTTTGAACTGATTCCGATCAAAACTAATTTTTTAATGAATTTTAAAAGTTGCTCCAAATGCCATGTACTGAACTGTAGTGCTTGAAGCATGCTGTTTAGCTCACTTAGAATGCTGCATGTCAACAATGCGGATTATAGCTCTAATCTACAGGCAAATTCTAATTTAAACTAATATTATACCTCGTGAAATGCCAGTCTTTTAGATATAGCTGTCTCTTTTCAGTATGCTTATCACTGGAGGAGTACAAGGAGATATTGTATTGTCTCCAGTAGTCAATGTATGCTGCAAAAGACCAGGTCTGCTTTGGATGTGATGAGAATTGAATGTCATTGCAATCAGTGACAGGAACCTGGGATTCTCCTATAAAGGAAATAAGCAATAGAATTACAATAATAATTATATCATAATTAAATGCAAAATTCAATATCTTTATAATTATACCAAATTCCTTCTTTAAATATTCTAAAAATGGCTTCCCTCCCTTCTGCCATAATTTTCTTGCTTTCCAAGATGCAGTTAGCTCCTGGTCTATAAGACATGGTCTGTTCTCCTTCAGGTATTGCTCTGCAAACTCTATGTAGCTGATTGTACAAGGTACAAGTTCCATTAATCGTCCACCTTAGTCTACTTTCCGTAAAATAACAAGAACCGCTACACTTTGAACATTCCCGTACACGATCAATCAATCTAAAAAACCCGCCCATATAGGGCGACCAAGCCACGCCCACGGAAACTTGTACTAATAACTTGTTTGGTGAGAGTCGGACCACCGCACATGAGCTGAGGGCCATCTTCCCTCTCCCTCTCCTCTGCTCTCGTTCCTCTCTCTCCTTTAGTTCCATTCTCCCTCTCTCCGTTAAGAAGGAGAGAGCGTACTGTACTGACTATAGAGATACCATCATCATGATGCTTGATTTCAGTATTTGTAAGTAGGACATTTAAATTTTTGTCTAGCAATAAAAATAATTTTATTTTATGTGCATGTACATTTGTTAACTATTGTTTTTACTTTATCTATTTCATGATCTCTTTATTAGTGACATTTACATGTACATGTACGTCCTCCATGATTTGTAATGTTTACGTGTACGTGTGTAAGGTTACATGTTTTTTGGCTTAATTGGATTTGAAACCACAGACTTCAACCACATTTGTAGTGTGTAACATGACCTCTTTCCTTCTCTTCACTTCTCTCTCTCTATCTCCATTTTTTGTTTTTGGGTTAAATGTATCTACTACTTTGTGTACATGTATGTACATGTACATGTTTTCTATTATTTTGATATAATTATAATTATACATGTATATTAGGTTTATTTTTCACTTTTATAACCACATCCTTGTATGGTATCACTTTGTTGTATCATGATGGCATTTGTCTAGTCATTGTTCTTATTGTTTTAATATATTAATGACGCAAGACTAATGTGACAGTGATATTACCCAAACATGTACATCTACTATATGTGTAATTTCATTCCTTCTATCATTTTAAAGATTATTTATCCTTTCTCTTTCTCTCCTCTTTCTACAGGAAGATAAGTCCCTCTGTATCATTCATTAGAGGCTCTCTATTATTAATATTTTATAATAATCCTTCAAGTCACATACGTTGACCTCATCTCTCAACAATACTTGTTTAAAACTTATCGTCTGATCAATTTCCTGGTCTTATCAAATCTCTCCCACTCTTTCTCTCTTTCTCTACAAAACTCTACTTTTATTTAGTTCAATTTTAAAACTTTCACACTACATTCATCTCCCCGATTCACTCCCTCTCTCTCCCTCTCTTCACTTAATTCATAGACATTCTCCCTCCCCTTCTCTCTCTCTCATTACAATCCTAACACTATGCAAGCTCCTAACTGGACAGATTTCCTCCATTGCTCTGTCTGTACAGTCAAGTACAATACAACCACTGCAGTACCAGTCAGTCTCAACTGCTCTCACTCAATGTGTAAGAGATGTCTCTCTCGTCTACAAACGAAACAATGTCCGTATGACAAGTTACCGATACCTTCTAATCTTGACAAGTATCCTCCTAATACAGCGTTCCTTGTCCTGCTAGGGTACCAGCCTGAAAGTTGGAGTCATGAGATGGCGTACCTTTTCCCAACCATTGTCCAGGAGTCGGAGCTGGAGGAGTACTCGGCTTGCCGGGAGGCGCTGGAGGGACTGGCGCAGTTTCTAAAACCGTTCACCGATCAAGGGTTCCTGCACGCAACTGCCAATATTCCCAGACCCATTCTTAAGAAGTTGACCGGGCTGCTTAGCAATCAGATATTAGATGGCGAGGGGCGAATGAAAGCGGTCAATGCAGCTCAGTCAATAGCTGAGAGAATCATTACAGAATTACTTATAATGCATCAGAATCAGCACCAGATCTCATCAGCTCTTTGGTCTGCTGTTCGATGTCGTGGCTGCCAGTTCCTTGGGCCAGTTATGCAGGAAGAGGCTCTTAAGTTGATTCTTAAAGCACTCGAGAACCGAAGATCCCTCTCTCGTAAAACCATCGTCATGTATGTAGTCCAGCAGCTCCAGCCCGACTTTCAAAATGCATCTAAGACTAATATTGGGCATGTGGTGCAGCTACTGTATAGAGCATCTTGTTTCAATGTAAGAGAGTGATTGTATTGTCTAAAATTAGCTACACAGTACATGTACATGTACATGTAGTTGTATTGTTATTCCTAATGTATTGTCTAAAGGGAACAGTGTTGTATTGTCGTCATGTACCTTTTCAATGCATGATACAATCCAAAAATTATGACAAGGAAACTGCAACAGCTTATCTTATGAAATGACTTCTTATAAGAATGATGCCTTTTGTTGACATTCAGTTCTACTTACATGCACTATCACAAATTCATGATAACAGTATGTCCTCTTGATAATTCATGTATGTATGCATGTACATGTATTACTATTTTTATTTATTATCTTTTTAGGTTGAAAAGAGAGCAAACGATTCCTCCCTCATGCAACTCAAGGAAGAGGTAAGTCACATGACAGCACACGGCTTAATCTGATTGGTCGATAGTATTGCACGTATGAAGCACTGAGACGAGAACACGATTCTCAGATTATAAAGATAGCCATGGAGGCTGGGCTGAGGATATCACCGGAAACCTGGTCAAGCCAGTTGTACGGGACTACTAACAATAAATCTGAAATGCAGTCGATAATAGACAAGGTACATGTATGTACATGTACATGTGAAAGGAGAAGGAGAGAGAGAGGAGAGAAGGAGGAAGGAGAGAGGGGAAGGAGAGGAGCGAATGAGGAAGGAGAGGGTGAGAGAGAGGGGGAAAGAGGAAGGAGAGAGGGGAAGGAGAAGGAGAGAGGGGAAGGAGAAGGAGAGAGGGGAAGGAGAAGGGGAGAGAGAGGGGGAAGGAGGAAGGAGAGGGTGAGAGAGGGAAATTCATGGAATGCTGACACTGGCCACAAGTTTTTTCTGTTTATCTTTCCCAAAATGTAAAAGGAAATGTAATATTTGATTAGTACAGGTGTACATTTTATTCACATGTTCATTAGTACCAAGAGTACTCTAGCTTGTACTGTACATTTGTACCTATACATGTATGTGCACGTATACATTGTAATTGATACTCTTTTGTGGTTTCTAGCTTTTTGTTTATTAACTGTCTGCCTTAATGTCTCTACATGTATATACAGTACATGTAGTTCATCTTTTTTTGTCTTCTTTCCTTCCTCTCCTCTCTCCTCCTTCCCTTGCCCTTTCTCCTTTCTATAGTTGGTGTCACTTGGTGTCGGTTCTTCTGGTATTAGTGAGTTGATAGTGGCCATTGGTCGCTCTCAGGATCAGTATAATTTAAACGAGAGACTTGTCAGCCATCTTGATGCTCTCCTTCAGATTGAAAACCCAATTGGGGAAAGAGGTAAGGAAGCATAGAGTCTTATTTTGTTTTATCTCTCTCTCTTTCTCTCTCTCTCTCTCTCTCTCCCCCTCTCCCCTCCCCTCTTTCTCTCCTCAGATGAGTCTGATCCTATTCCAGTCCCTGCTTGCTCTTGGGAATTATGTTCCAAGGCTTTATCTGAACTGCTAATATGCCTACAAGTTTTTACTGACTTCACACAGGTAATGAACTTAAATTATCAACATACTATACTTTTTACGCCTGTTAATGTTACATGTTTTGTACATGTCACATGTCATGCACATGCTGTGTGCATGCTCACCTGCCTGGCCTCATGCCCTAATTTGGTAGCATTATCCACTAACATTAAACAAAATAATTGAGTTATAATTGTCCAGTTGCTATGGAGCATTAACTGTAGATTGTACTTGCAGCCTTGGCCTTGCATTCTTGAAATTCTTGTGAGCCTACAATGATAACAGTATAATGCTTAAACTATGAGAAAGATTGCTGTCTACAATAATAACAGTATATGCTTTAAGTATGAGAATAAATTGTCCATGCTCACAGTACAATTTCATGCATGATTTTGACTTGTGATTTCATGCTTTAAACTTGTTGTTATATTATTGATGTACTTACATGTACATGTATTTATTTATCTATCTATTTATTTTATGTATTTATTAAATATTTTATTAATATCTATTGCCTCTTCTCAGCATCTTAGTAAAGATAGCCCAGAACTGAATAGCCTTGGGCAGGTAGTCTTCAATATAACATCCACACACACGCACTCTCTCTTTCTCCTTCTCTCTTGATCTCTCTCTCAATTACTGTCTATAGCGTTTTTAAATTTTGTAATGCAAGGTGCAAAATTTTAATGGGCGACCCACAAAAATTTATTGTGCGTTCCTTGAAGCCTGCATGACGACTGACCAGTTTCAAAAAGGACAAGCATATTTTGAAATATTCCTAAAATTGCTTGACTACCTTGCATGCATAGCTGGCAGAAAAAAAATTTTTTAATTACACCTCTAAAATTTTGTTCCTTCATCTCATTATGGCTATTACGCTATACAGTAACACTCACACACACGACTCAATTAACTATTTTGTTGTTGTTTTTGTTGTTTTCTTGTTGTGCTTTTACTGTGTTTACATTGTCAGGTTAAGAGTGGTCGGTATAAGACAGGTATGTGTCCTTATCTCATTAAACCGGGGGGCTGTCCCAGGGGGGCCCTCTGTCCTTACGCCCACACAGAAGAGGAAAGAAAAAAGTAAGCAACACAACTACATGTACATGTACATGTACATGTATAATGATAGTTTATGTAATAATAATAAGTTTGTACATGTAGTTGCTTGCTAGTGTATTGTGTACATTGTATATAGCTGGAAATTTTAATTTTTTGTGATTTTTGAAATTAAAATCTGCAACAAGATGGCCGAATGTTTTGATTAGTGAAAACTAATTCTATGAAAATGATTTTTGAGTGGATCCATGACATTTTCTATCCCTCTATAGTTTCCTACATACAGTAACACATGTACATGTACAATGATGTGATACAGTGTTTTTTTATTATTTCCTTCATTAATATAGTACTATACACATGTACATGTACAGTGTATTTATTATTATTATTATAACTATTGCATGCTTTTGTTTATAGTATATGCGTGTACATTGTAACTACAAATGTATGTTTTGGGACTTATTCTGGGAAGTGGCTATACATTGTGTATCAATACTGCCCATTCATTGGGAATGAGCTAGCATGACACATTCATGACACACCGACATAATTCATTGACATCCTATACATTGTGTAACAACATTCATCAGCACATTTCGAAATTCATTTCTTACATCAACATGATTTAAATATCCCCCCTCTCTCTCTCTCTCTGTCACTCTCTCCCTCTCTCTCTCCCACTATTATACATGTACATGTAGGTATGTTAACATGGCTAAACCCAAGTCTCGTCCTAAGCCCCGCCCAGATATTCCTCCAACCACGCCCCCTCAATTACGAGCCCCTACCATGAGAGGGGACGGAGGTGCCAGTAGTCTCCCCGTTAGACAGTACTCTGGTGATATGAGTGATGGGTCTTTCTCTAGTTTTGAGTCAGCGTCTTTTCCTGGTAATTCAAGTGCTCTTTATTCCTCACATCATCCTCCTCCTTCACTGACTCACTCTGATGTGCAGCAACGCTCTGAGGCTTCTTACTTTGTGAGACCAGGTAAGGATAATAATAATGATAATAATAATAATAATAATAATAATACATGTACATGTACGTGTGAATAATGATAATGATGATGATAATAGAGCTATTTGTTCTCTTTTTTGTTTTGCTCTTAATTTTATGTATTAATAATAATGATAATAATACAAATAACCCCACAATTCTTCCTACAGTGTATGTACATGTACATGTACACATGTAATAATTTTATTTGACTATATTTAGTACATGTACACAGTACATGTACATGTACACAGTACATGTACATGTACACATGTACCTTGATTATTATTAGAATATTTTAATCACTTTTCCTTTCTGTAGGTCCTAGTTCAATCAATCATACTGGGTTCTTTCAAGAGGACGTCACTCAAGGTGTAGCGGCTAGTGGAGGCGGAGCCTATCACTCGCCCCACCCTCCGCCCATATCCCAACAAAAAGGATACCACTCGTTTGATGGAGGAGATATTAACAACAGTGGGATGTATACTAGACCACACCCTGGTCCTTACCAGCAACACACTGGTAAGATACTAATACTTTGAGAACCCTCTTAGTGTTGTACATGTACATGTATGTACGTCAGGGTTTCCCATGGGATTTTGGCATAGTGCTTAATAGAGTAGTATCCTATAGAATTTTAAAGTTATTCAAATTAAAGTGCTCAAAACTCTGGCCAAAGACCCCTGTATTACATGTACATGTATTTCATCGAAAAATTTCAAAATACATGTGCATGTACATGTACATGTACATGTACACGTGCAATAATTACTGAATTTTTGTGTAATAATATTTTTATTTTATTTTATTTTAAAGGTAAATCAAATCCCGAGCAGCAGCAAGGCCGGCATTATGCTCATTCAATCTCGTTGACCACACCCACCACTTCTAGTCACTCCGCCCGCTCGGAATATAATCCAAACAGCAACAGTGAGTCCTCACGAAGTTCCCAGTCTGGCTATTACTCACAAGATGGAGAAATGGGAGGGACTAGTACTTGGAAGTATAATAGACCGGATTCCTCTCTCTCTCATTCTCCTTCTGGTGGCTCCTCTTTTTCAGACGAGGGAGTTTCCTCAGAGAGAGGGGTACACACCCCTGTTGCCAGGGACGACGGCTCCGGAGACGAGGGTAAACTTGGTGGCACCGTTCCCAATAAAACAATGGTGTCTAGGGGAGGCGTGGCTCCAGGCAAAACCACACCCACCAATTCGAAATCGTCAAGCGAGAATAAGATGGTGGAAGAGTTGACTGCTAAAGTGAAGGAGCTTGAGATGAAGTTGGAGGAGAAAGAGACTAAGAGAAATAGGGAGCAGGTGTTGCCCCTCCCTCATCCTCACCCACCTCCTCCACCTGCTGCTGTTCCTGTGCATCATTATTATACTCGTCCTCAGAATGGCGGAGTCATTTCCGGCGGACATGTTGTGGGTGGAGTTATGGCCCGTCCGGTGCATTTCTCGGGTCAACAGCATTTCATGCCGCCTGCACCTTTTTATGATCCATGTAAGTGGGAGGAGCTTGTAAATATTGCTTTGACAAAAGTATTGACTAATGTATAATGCATGTACATGTAGCTCATGGTTTTTTCTGAAAAATGGCTCTGAAATCACTCCAAATTTTAATTACATTTTCTGATACACATTGATGTCCTTATGCTGTGTAGAAAGTTTGAGCTGATTCCGACTTCAATTTTTCGAGTTACGGTCATTTTAAAAAATTAGCCAAAATCTGAAAAATACCCAAGGCTATAGCCCATGGTTTTTTCCAAAAAAATGGCTCCGAAATCACCCCCAATTGTTTTTTCCAAAAAATGGCTCCGAAATCACCCCCAATTTTTATTACATTTTCTGATACATATTGATGTACTTATGCTGTGTAGAAAGTTTGAGCTGATTCCGACTTCAATTTTTCGAGTTACGGCCATTTAAAAAAATGAGCCAAAATCTGAAAAATACCCATGGCTATAGCCCATGGTTTTTTCAAAAAATGGCTCCGAAATTACCCCCAATTTTTATTACATTTTCTGATACATATTGATGTCCTTATGCTTTGTAGAAAGTTTGAGCTGATTCCGACAAAATATTTTTTGAGTTATGAGCATTTTTATGTTTTAAAGAAAAAGATGAAAGCCCATTTTTTATCTGATTAACTACACATACATGTACATGTACAAATGTAAATTGTAATGCACTGTATACTATACATGTTATTCTACTTCTTTTTAGTATTGCTATGCATTGTATTATTGTATATTTTATGATCCTCTCCTCCAGTTAATGGCGGGTTGCCAAATCAAGTTTGGTGTCCTCCGATTGCCGTGTCTCCTCAAACCACGCCCCCTAATTCTGGGTTACTAGTCCATCATCCTCACCCTCCTGCTCCTGCTCCTCCCCCACCTCACATGGGGCACCATCCACAACCACCACCACCACCACATCACCATCATCACCTTCAGCCAACAATGGTAGGAGGAGAGAGAGAGAGGGGGGAGGGAGGGAGAGAGAGAGAGAGGAGAGATAAGAGAGATGTTGGGGAAGAAATAGGAGAGAGAAAAGAAAAGAAGCATTTATTTTTATTTTATTTTAGGATTTCCAAGTACAAAGTGATGAATACCTTGCTCACTACCTCACCTTCCAAGAGCAAGCCAAAGCACGTCCTCATCAAATAGCCCCAGGGGCCCACCTCCCTCCTCTCCACCCTCCTCCTACTATGCATCAGGCCCCGCCTCCTTTGCCCCCTCACATGTACCCGTTTGACTACAATCCGATGATGACCGCCCACCTCCTGTAGAGAGGGAGGGAAGGAGGGCAGCTGGAAATATAGGAGTTAAAATAATTATTAGAAGACATGTAGTATACACATGTGTTTATTATTATTATTATTATTTTATTACATTAAATTAATTTCAAGTAATGTTCAGATTATTTTTAGGTAGTTGGTAGTTTTTCTCTCTCTCTTTCTTTCTCTCATTTTCATTTCTTTATTAGAGATTTTATTTTATTTTCGAGCCTTTTAGTGTTCCAGTTATTTTGCTAAAAATAATAATTATTACTCTTAAAACAAACATGATTGTGTCATGTAGTGTGTATTAAAAATAATAACAATTATTATTATTATTTCGATAATAATTATCTCTCCTCTTTTGTTTGTTGTGCAATTATTAATAACTATTATTATTGATCATTCTTATAGTAAATGAAAGGATTGGAAACCTCAAACCACCATTCCTGGCAGGAAAAGCTAGTTGTTAATACTGTATAAATTGAATGGATTATTAGGATAAAAGAGTATGTGAAAAACACCTAGATACATACTCACATCATTTAATTAATTATAAAGCCCTGCAGTGTAAAGGTGAGCAATACTAGAAATTTTTGATCGAAACTGATACAACAGCAGTCTGAGTCTTAGTATTGATGGTATGATCATGTACTAGACTCTCCTTTGCCTTGCCAATGACTGTACACACTACACAGCCAAGAATGTTATTCTTGGCACGAGTCTTGGCACTATTATGGCTGTATGGGCGGGGAAGGCTTAGTGTGTACGTGTACTCACTGGCTGACAGCAAGTGACTGTATGTAGTGTGACCGCAATTCCGCCGCATAGATTGTGTGATCTGATCTGCTGGGCGTATTGCATTCTTTCTATAGCTAGCTTCATTTCATTACTTCAGCAAGGCTGATAATACCAAGAGATAGGCGAGATGGCTGTAAGATATGTCGTTTCTAGTAGCCAGCCCCTCAAGCTACGCGAGACCAGCTATCACCAACTAGTGGAAGGTGATGATGACCTTCGGCTTCAACATGGACTTCAAAAAGATAACAGTAAGCGTGTAGCCATGAGGCTGAGCCAATTTACAATTGGCAAAATTATTTTGTGTTCCAATTTTTGTCCCCTAGTGTGGCCGCTCATAATCTATGGGCCGCTGTATGTAGTGCGGGTTTGTTACGTAATAATTAATTTTGTCGGTTTATCCTGGCAAAAATTGTCTGGGTTACAGCATAGATGGTTACAGAGTTGGGTTAATTGGGGTTTAGGGTTTATATTTATAATACATGCGGAAGTATAAAGCTAGGACAATTTTTTGCCCCAGACAAAATTCTGTGACAGGTCTCCCCCCCCCCCTAATTAGTTCCCAACACTAAAAAGTAAAAACACAAGCCCTTGAACCAGGCCATCCTACTAAATTGGCACTAAAATCTTAAGTATGCATTCAACTGAGGTCTATAGCAGCAATCTTAGGTGGCTACAGAAGTCCAACTCAGCCTAGTAGTGCTGGGCAATATATCAAAAGTCACGATATTTAATCGATATAATGCGGTATCGATACTTATCCATATTGAAAAAATTTGAAGGAAATATCGATAACGAGACCACGCCCATAAAATGGTTACATAACTTTAATAAATGGTTAATTAAGTATAGGAGTTACATCTCGAAAATTACTAAAATGTATTTTCTTGGAAAGTAGATGAAGTAGCTGAACTATATGAAGCCAAAGAAGGTTTTTATAATGCTTTTCAATGATAATTATTCTCAGAAATAGCTTTATTTAGCCGTTTTAGTAATATTAAAGTTAATGGGTGTGGCTTAATAACTTATCGATAAAAAATATCGATATCTTCATTTTTAGGCAATATCGTATCATATCGTATTGTTTCAAAATTTTCAATATCGCCCAGCACTACAGCCTAGGCATGTCTAATTAAATGGATGTGGTAAAAGTGTTAAATAGGCTTGTTTCTGCTTCCTGTCTAACCTAGGAAATAACCTCCAATAGGCCTGCAGCTGCAATATGAGACCTGAGCCCCAAAATATCCAATCAAGGCAAAGCTAAAGGTGGATATTGACTGAGGGGCGAAGGTCGAGGCATACTCAGGGGGAGAGGCTAAAAGGAGCTTGAACACACCCTCAGTCATGGCTGGGATCAGAGAGTTTTTTAAGCCTTACATGGGCGTAGGCAGGATTTCGGCTCACAAAACACACCATAGAATTTTGCAAAATTACGTTCTTTTTGAGGAGTGACTACACCTCTTTTTTAGCATGGCGGACTTCTTGAATGATCATAGGCAATGTTGGCATCATAGAAAAATAAAATCAAATTGGCATCATAGAAAAATTGATTTTACCTTCTTCTTTCATATGTAAGTTGTAGAACAGCTTTTCCTTCCACAAAGAGCTTGTAATTTTAATTTTGATTTTTAAAGAGGGGGATATTTGCCCCCTTGATCCCCCTGGCTATGCCCCTGCCCTGGTGTCTCATATCACTGCTAAGAAAGTCTTTCAAGACACTTGACAATCATTTCAGCCTCAATTCTAGCAATTTCCAGCCGGGAGTTTAAAGGGCAATAGAAAACACCAGCATGCCTGAAATTGCAGTGACGCCACCAATTGATCTTTGAAAATGACTGAAAACTATATTTTAGCGCCATAAATGGGGTGTTGCCAAAATCACGACGTACTTCACATGCCATTAGCACCCTTCTCTTCTAATTCCTAGGTACATCTCTCGCAAGGCATACTATTATATTAAGTATTTTATACTTACAACCACATCAAAGTATCTGAAACTCCAAAGAGTTCTCAATTATGATGCAATGCTTTTTATGCGCTAGCGTCATAGTTAAAAGTGCTGTATAAACAAATGGTAATATGTGTCAATGTGTCAGAATAGAAGTTTTTTCTAATCTGATGCATGCTTACATTTTGTTTATACAGCACCTTAGGTCACGATGGAAGTACATGCATCATATTGAGAACCCAGCTTTACAAGGACAAGGCTATTGCATGCATAGATATTGTCTAAGACTGCCCCTGCTCTTTGCTAGCTCAGCATGTGCATTGATGTCATCATTATGAGACCTAATGAATATCATTAACTTAATAACAGACCTAATGAAATCATTAACACCCATACACTCTTTTATAGCAGGTCACAATTATATTGACAGCCCACTTTTATAATTTGACATTCATGAGAGACGTCTGTTGATGTAACAAATTTTTTACTTGTAAATTGTGTGTATTGATAAAAAAGAATAGGAAACAATGACTCAAATAATTGCATGGTATAAGTATAATAAGTATAAGATTTACTTATATCAATTGGCCTAATGATTCTTGCAATGATTAAGACTTGGCGCCCCTTATTTGCTATTCAGAGTAACTTTTATACTGAGTCAAGGGATTTACTGCTCATAGGTCATTCTATTCACTGTGTCAGGGATATGCATCATTGATTCATGTTATGTAGCTATATATATATACTTATAATGTATAATGCAATAAGTTGCATGGGCATGCAAGTATACTTTTGCATACAGTCACATCTAGGCAATCTTTAAGTTAGGGACTTTGCCTTAATTTAGATTATTGAAACTCTGTTCGGTAACTATAAAAACTGACCCATTTTCTCCAATTATAAATATTGATTTATACAAAATATTGCTCACTTTTAACTAAGCAAGATTAACTTTACTTCTATTGTTTCCACCATATAGTTGAAACTCCTCCACCCAAATATTGCAAGGTGTTAGAAAAAGGTATTAATATTTAATCAATTATACTGTGCTCTAAATTGCTTTCTCATAATAGATGCAATGAAAACAATCAAAGAGTTCCTGAAAAAAAGAGGCATTTCAAGAAATGTTAATATACTAGTCATTGGAAGAACAGGTGAAGGGAAGTCTTCACTAATCAACAGCCTCATTGAGCTGGGGAAAAAAATTGCACCTGAGGGAGCACTTACTGGCTGCTGTACAGCAACAACACAGTCTTACATCTACCCAAATATCATTCCTGGTGTCACTGTCACAATAATCGACACTCCTGGTTTACAAGATACTCAAAACAATGAACATAAATACATTCAAGAAATGAAGAATGAGTGTCATGAGATCAGTTTGATCCTCTACTGCATTAAGATGACAAACAAGCGATTAATCAACGATGACAAAGTTGCTATGAAGAAACTTGATCAAATGTTTGGTCAAAAATTCTGGGAGAGAGTAGTGTTTGTTCAAACCTTTGCAAATGGGGAAATGCTAGAGAAGTGGGATGAAAGAGATAAAGATAATGAAAGTGAAGAGCCTGATGATGATGATGTTGATGCTTGGAAAAAACTGAAAAAAGAAAGGCTGACTGGTCGAGTTCAATATTTTAAAGAAGAATTAGCGAAATTTTTTACTAAGCACGTACGTCATGACATAATTCAGGAGGTAGAGTTCAACGTTTGTCCAGCTGGATATCATGTCCGTAAACATGATGCTCCTATTTCTTTTGTTGACTGGAAGCGTGATTTTTTAAAAATATGTTTTAAAACAATGGAGGACAAGCATTTATTAAATATACAGCTGAGTAAAAGTAATACAAAATGTAATATTTATAATGATTTTTAGTTTTTTTTTATAGAGATTGCTTTAGCTGTTCTTATTGATAATCGTGGAGAGGTCAAGGTGGAGAATGAAGAAAGGATATTAAATGATGAAGCAGCAGCTCTCAATAAAGCTTTTGAAAATCTTGATTTTGCTGTTCTTTACTTCAACAGCCTCTCCTCAGAATCAATAGCTACTTTGCTTGAAGCAATAAGTGAAGTAGATCATTCCCAATTATTGATGATAGCTGTAGTATTTCTCAGTAAAGGGAAGACCGCTGAGCTTTATGATGCTGATGGTGTAGCTGTGTCTTATGAAGATGTGTTTCGTCATTTTCCAAGATGTCCAAAACCACTTGTATTGCTTTTTGATTCAGTAGTTGATGAGACACAGAAAAAAAAAGATTTCACAATCGATGATATACTGAATATTAATTTGCCTCTACATATTTGCCCCCAAAATTTTTTAATTCTTGCTGCTAGACACAATTCAGCATCATCTCCTGTAGTAAAAGAGTTCACAGAAAAGCTGAGCCACACCAGTGTCCAAGAATGCTTTGAAACAGTATGTGCTAATAATAACAGCACAACTGTGAAAAGCATATGGCATGACACTGTTGGGGACAATGTATTCATCATAAAATCTATTAATGACAGGTAAGGCTAATTTTAAGATTTTAATATTATTTGAACTTAAATTACACTAAATTAATTTTTAGTATTGATACTCTTGAACAAAAATTGGAAATATACCATTCAATATGGTACCCAATCCGTTGCAAGACTATAGACAAGATTGAAGAAAACAAAGAAGAAATTATGTCAATAGTCTTTAAAGAAAGAGCAACTAAAATAGGAGCTACTTTTTCAGGCATGGTATTAGGTGGTAGTTTAGTTGTAACAGGAATAGCTTTAGCTCCTTTCACATTTGGTGGGTCTATTGTCGTATCTGTGATTGGTGGTGCTGTGGGGGCAGCTGCTGCTGGTACAGGGATTGGTGCTACCATTTTTTCGAAAATTTTTAGTCACAAACAGTTAAAAAAAGCACAACAGCACATCAATCTTGATCAGCAGATTAGCTTGATACTTAACAATGATGCCAAAAAATATATTGAAATTGTCACTTCATCTCATATACCAGAGTCTTCACTTCTTGGTCTTCAAGGTGCAGTAGCTATTGGTCGAGGTGCTGGTGCAGGTATTGCAATTGGTGTAGAGGGTACACTAGAAACAGCTGCACTTGTTCTGCGTACTACTGGTCGTGTTGCTGGAATGGCTTTAGTTGGGGTCTCATTAGCTGTAACAGTACCAGTGGATATTGCCTTTATTGTGTATAATGTCTATCACTTACACAAATCAAGAAATGATCCAACAGGAAAGAATGAAAGTGACAAAGCAGTGAAGTCACTCTACAATCAAATAGAAACATTACTCAAAGGTATATAGTATGCATGTACTGATGTACACATATACAGGTTTTAAAAATTTATATTTTTAGGTATGTGCCTTGCAATCAATGAAGTTGAGTATGAAGTTCAAGCTGAGAGAAATATTCTTAAAGATGCTGAGTGTGGATATGAAATTCAAGTGCCGGTAAAAGATAAAGAAAAGCATACAGTTACAGTTCGCACTCTGTTCTCTGGTCCATTTGTTTTTCCTGATGGGTATACTCTTGTAAGTGCTGTATATGATATCACAATGCCAGAGTTACCTCAACCAGCAACCATTAAGCTGGAGCATTGTGTTGATGAATCTGATCAGACTAGATCAGATTTGATGTGTTATGCTATTGGCAGCGTTGACTTGAAGAATAAAAAGATAATGTTTGAAAAAGTGGATACTGGATCACCTCTAAAAGCAGCCCAACTGACCCAACCCCCTGAGCCAATTCCTTCCCCAATTAAACAAAAAAGCAGTTGTCTGTTATGCATATTATACAAAAGTAAACTGTAAGTACAATACCATTTTAATTAATAGTCCAGTGCCACTAATTTTTAGGGAAGATAAAACATTAGTCAAATATGCTGCTCATTGTTTTTATGAAAAAAAGTACGAAAACTTTTGGATCCTGAATATAGTTTTTACTAAACATCTCAAAGCTCACTTCAAGGTTTTTATAAATAAAATGAAAAACATATTACTTTCTTTTTAGCATGCTACATCATGTAGAGCTAGTCCTCAAGGCCCATGTCAATTTGTTTTTATATCTGACAAGCTCCTTCTTGATCTAACTTGTTTTAAAGACACAAAAAATTACTCAGGATGGATTGTATCACCAAACAATGATGAAAAATTGCCAGACACTGTTAGTTACTATACTTGTGTAAATTGTAAAGCACAATAACGTTTCATATATTTATATTTATAGATATCAATGCAAGAAATTGACACTGCTGAATTGAGGAGTGGCAGTGCTCAAGTGCAGAAAAAAAAAGCATTTCCCTCAATTAGTTTGTATGTTTATGTTAATGAAGAAGACGCTGCTTATGAAATAAATAAGTCTTTTAAAATCGAGGGAACAAACTTAAACATAAATATTAAACTACACAAAGAATAGACTTGCTGCAGTATATTGCTAACATACTATATTTAACTCTTTGAATTGCTGATAGTTATTAGTTATGCTAAATAGAACTTGTAGCTACCTATAGACTTAAATGACTTATTGAGTGGACTAATATTCTATTTTAGTTTCTACTTTAATTAAATGTCATATGATGTGAAGCAAAAGAGCTTAGAGATTATATATAAAAATTATCAACAATATTAAATAGATTACATTTTTATTCAGTAAAGAAAAGGGTCAAAAGTAGCAACGTTCATACAAATGGGAGAGAGTAGATGTACATATATATTTAATACTGTTACTCATTTTTCTGACGTTTTAAAGACAGTGGGCTATCATTAGGAGAGACCATTCCTTTGTAAATATCATAAAATACAACAGTATGGTTGTCTTCACCAACAAGCCCTAATGTTACCCTATTACAATAATAATACACAAGAAATAAACAGATATAATTCTAAACTACCAACTTTTTCAAGTCTTGCTTTAGCTCCAGTGATGCATTTTCTATCATTTTTGTCAGCCTAAAGAGTAAGTATTTTCATTACGAGTTACAATGACCTTACGATTCAAATGAGTGGTGATGTCTGACATCAATTGGAATTACTATTCTTTCAGTTTCCTCCTAAAAAGGAGCTAAAACTAGGAAGTATTATTTCACTGACTGTTTGTGAGCCATTTTGACTAATTATTATGTGATTTTGCAGGACTTGAGAGTACAAGCAATCAAATGAATCCCCACCTATTAATACAATAGGTAAAATTTTAAAAGTCTGTGTTAATTTCTATTTCTACTTTTTTCAAGGTGAGACAATACTGCCTTGCAACACGACGCCATTTTATTAAGGAACTGCGCATGCGTGTATGGGAAGTTTGCGAAAACTTTCGCGGGAAATTTTGAGGAGGAGTGGCTCGTAATAAAATGGCGTTCAGGAGTGTCAAAAACCTCTTGAGTTATTATAAAATGAGGAGGCACTCTCTCATTTCTCTCAGACATATAAGTCGTCACATTCGCCAGCCAACCAACTACTCCCATCCAGAGCTCCTTGGGAAAGATGAACGTAAATTGAATGATAATAATACTTTTATAGCTATTTTTACTTCTTAATTTTTTATGCACAGTTCTTCCTGGAATAACAAAGATGGAATTTGCAAGAAGAAGGAGAAGATTAATGGAGTATGAGGAATATATATTAAGTTATTAAGCTTTTATTTTATTTTATTTTTCTTAGGGAGATCAGCAAGACTCATTCAGGGATGACCAATGCTAATCATGTGTTGATCATTCCGGCATCAAAAGTACAATACATGTCACAAGATATATTGTAAGTAATAATAATAATAATAATAATAATAATTTTTGCATTTTTTTAAAGCAAGAATTTTTTACTTAATTTTGATGTAGCATTGATAATTAGTTTGTTCTCTTTCTCTCTCTCTCTCATTCAGTTATAGGTTTCATCAAAATAATGATTTCCTATACTTCACTGGTTTTCAGGAACCCGATGCTGTACTAATTATTGAGTCAAATAGTTCTTCACCTCTTCCTGATCATAACACTGTACTATATGTCACTGATAGAGACCCATTTAGGTAAGAGAAAGAGGGGGAGAGAGAGAAAGAGGGAGGGAGGAAGAGAAAGACAGGAAAGGAGAGAAGGAGAAAAAGAGAGAGGGAGAGAGATATGTAAGATATTAATGTTTTCTTTGTTGCTAGGGAGAAGTGGGAGGGACCTGTTTTAGGGCCTGATGATGCCGTTGATTATTTTGGCGTTGATGAAGTAAATTTTTATTTTAAAAACTAAGTTATAGCTATTATTTTTATTTTAAAGGCATACTCAATAACATTGCTATCGGAACACTTGGAAAGAAAGTGAGTCTAGCATAAGTATTAAAATTTTAACCATGATTTTACGAATAAAATTGGAGACTTAATTTTAGTGAATGGACCTCAATTTGCCAAATTCACCAAAATTTTACTCCACCTAATTTTCTAGCTATATTGATATTAATAAGTTAATAACTGTTATTGAAAAACTCTAGGTACTCAAAAGGTGGTTACTCTGTTTGGTATTACGGTGAAAGAGAGACCCCAGCAACAATCAGTGACTCCATTGATGTCACCATACATCAACACTTGTTAAATGTACCAGGCTCTCGTATAACCAGTAAGACGGGTTTGACAGGTATAGTACATTTACATGTTTTATAGGTAATCACAGTCTCCTGTATCACATGCATACATTGAGGGCTATAAAGTCTGAGGGTGAGATATCACTGATGAGAAGAGCTGGAGAAATTGCTGCCGGAGCTTTTAAAAAAGTAAATAATTGCAAAATAAAAAATATCTCATTTTATGATTTATCTGTGACTTTCAACTACCTGTACAAATAGACAGACAGAAGCGATTTGGTCCCTTCCTCTGCTTTTTCCTCTTATTAGGGCTTGCTTTGACTTGCCCATTTAATCTTTAAATATATAATTTATCAAATGAAACAACTGAACAGATTAGCAACATGTAGCTCAATTAACTACCGTACAGAAGGAAATTTTGGAGGGACTAAATTTTGGCGAATTGCTAAATTTTGGATGATTGGCGAATTTTAATTTGGCGAATTTGTGGCCATGTGCTATTGAGCATGCGCATAATGGCTCAAAATGGCGAATTTTTATTTTCGCAAATGGCTATCAAAATGCCCAATTCGCCAAATTTAACTACCTCCAAAATTTCCTTCCATACAGTAATTTAACTTATTTCAATTAACTGATTTTTGAGGAACTTAAAAATTATTTTACTACACTTTAATCAATGTTGCATTGTTATTTTGCAAGTTCATGTCAATCATGTGCTACAATCAATAATACTATAGACCACACAAACAAGTATAATAAATATAATTAGTTTTTGTTTTATAGCAATATATAAAATATTCATTAGGTGATAAACATTAGTTATAATAATAAACATAGTTTGAAATTTGTACATGATATCAGCTCAGCTAATTAGAACAATGACATACTAAACTAGCTATGAGGAAGGAATACGAGGGTTATTTCTAATGTAAAAAGCAATATATTTTTCTCCTATTGTATCCAGTGCTGTAGCTAATGATGACCAACTGGGACCTCCTTTCTCTCTCACTTTATCTTCTCCTCTTAACCAGGCAGACATACAAGCATGAAAACACTCCTCTGTCTTTCCTCTATATATAGTCAGTGTCTATATCCACTAGTCTACAATCTTGTAATCCTAACTGTAGACCTAGTCTGTGCCATACAGAATGGGGCAATTGTTGATTGTATGTTAATTCTTTAATGACATCAGCAAGATCTATAATAATAGATCTTGCTGATGTCATTAAAGAATTAACATACAATCAACACTTGTATACTCTCATACCTAGCTTTGTTGTAGTCAATGGAGTGTTGAATTCTTCCTTTATGTCAATCACTTCCTATAATGATATTATTCACTAAAGGTGAGTTTAAGCAAAATTTATACTAATATTATTAGTAGTAAAAGCCACACAATGACAACCCACAATTATGATAGTAATTTATGATAATTTGATAGTAAAAATAAAAATAATTTAACCTTTTGATTATTAGCTAGTACTTGCATGTTATTATGTATCAAACAGTTTGTGTGTGTTTTAATTCTTACCTTAATTTCATGTCCTCCTAATAGTGACAGGTTACTAATATCTGATAATGATTCATCAAGTAGGATCTCCTTCAATTCTTTATGTCCATTATCGCTCACAAGAAATGGTCTTCCTTCCTTAATTGCTGAGAGTACAGCTTTTACACTATACACTGTCCTTTCTCTTGGTGTATTCACAGGATAGGCTAGTTCATTAGAATCAATAACTAACTCTTTTACCTCTAGACTGGGACAGGATTCTTTATAAACACTCATTACCTCTCCTATCACATCTCTTCTTAGAGACACCATATTGTCACTGTAACCTTTCTCACAGGACATCATTACTAGTACACACTGGCTCTCATCCACAATCTCTACCAGTGATCCTACACCATGACCATTAACCCAATGAAGGCCATTCTTCCAAAATGTACAGTAGTGATTTAACTTGTCATCTTCTTGAGGTAGAGCCATTTTGTAAGCAAGACGTAACAAGAGGACATGGAAGTATCGAGGAGGAAAGAAATCATGTCCTCTAGTACACTGTAGACACCAACCAAACTGGTACACTTGACTAGTCATCTCATCAGGTCTATTTCTAGACAAAAGACATGGAAAGAACAACAACCTTTCTCCTCTTCTTTGAGTCTCTGAGGCACTTTCTCCTCGTATTAAGTTTGTCATTATTAGAAAAGATGGATTTATTTCTTGACAGAGTTCCATGTTCAATAGGAAGCAGATCAACATGTCAGGATCATATTCAGGGAAGAGTCTAGTCAGACCAGACACACTAACAATACCAGTATTGCTAGCAATGTCAACGTGTTCTTTGAATGTCTCTGGAGCAAAGAGAATCCCATCCACCTCAGTTAGTAGTATACCCTTATTCACAACAACCCATACCTTGTCTTCACTTTTAAGAACACTGATCAAACCAGTTGAGTGCAACGACTTAAGAACATTCCAAATGTCATCGCTAGCTGGTAAAATGTAATGATTATTGTTCTCACCAGCAGACATTACATCAGAGAGGGTCAGTATATTCTCTTTCCTTTCCTCCAGTAGACCATATATCATGTGACAATAAAGACTCAAATTCCTTCCACATGTACTACGAATGGACTCACAGGCACTAGACAACAGATTAAAGAGGGAATCCACACCACTCCCACCAAGCTTACGACAATCTAAGAAGACATGATTACACCTTTCCCTTACAATAATCCCCTGTATTTCTTCCTTTCTCCTCCTTTCAACAGAATTACTTATCTTATCCACATGACTGACTATTACAATAACATGGCATTGATTACCAGCTTTCTGTTCTTCATTTCTCACAACTGTTAGCCACTGATGAAGCTGTTTGACTGCTTCCTTCTCCAATATATTGACTACTATCAGGAACACACCATTAGAACCTTGTAACAGATTCTCAATGACAGCACTGTGACTGGAGTAGTATTCTGGACGACCAGCAAAATCATGAAGAATGATGTTACCCAGTGTCCTGTGTTGTAGTTTATAAGGAATGATACCAGCAGTACAGGGCACTACCCCTCCAACATTTCTAAAGGAACCAAGAACAATAGAACCAGTAACTGTGTCATTGATGACATGACTAAGAGTACTTTTACCAGCTCCAGAATTGCCCATAAGGAGGATGTTAACATAAGAATCAATTGGATGAGATGATTTTATATCACCAAATTTGTTAAAGACAAGAAGAACACTAAGATGTCGCTGCCAAATAAAATCAGGAAGCATCTTATCCCAGTTGTTTTTAGCTAGTTGTACTGGTGTTCTCCCCTTGTAGTCCTTAGCCAATGGATCACATTTACCAGTTGATAGTAAATATTCAACAACTGCAGGATTAATGTAATAAGCAGCAATGTGAAGAAGTGTCTGCCCTTCATTGTCAACAGTCATTGGATCACAGTGTTTCTCATTGATGAGATACTTAACTACATCAGATGAATCGCTTTTAACTGCTTTATGAAGAGTTGTCATGTTGTTAAAGTCAGTAGCCATTGGATCCCAGTGACACTCATCAATGAGATACTTTACAGTATCAATGTGTCTAGCGGCACAGTGAAGAACAGTCTGACCACTATTGGTAAGAGTCCTTGGATCACAGAGATGATGACTGATCAAGTACTTCATAACATCAAGTGATCCTTTATAAGCTGCATTGTGAAGAACAGTATATCCATATTCATCAACAAACATTGGATTGTAGTGACACTCATTAATGAGGTATCTCACTGTATCAACATGATTACCTTCTGCAGCCCAAGCAAGACAAGTCTTAGCTCCATCATCACATTCATGTGGATCACAGTGATATTTAGTGATGAGATCTTTTGTAACGTCTAACCAGCCATGCCTTGAAGACAAATGAAGTATACTAGTATTGTACCATATTCTGTCATAAGTTCCTTTGATTTTATTTGGTTCCTTCACTAATGGTAGTAAGTAAACAGCTTTGTCATGTTTGCCATCTCTAAAGGCAGCCCAACACTGGTCCTCTAACCACAAATCTTGTTCCCACATATCTTGCGTCTTGTGAAAGCTGTTATTGTTGATTGAATTCATTGTTGCCCCACCCAACATTATCCATGCACTATACATACACCATGATTATCAGTAACTGATGGGGAGGGAGAAAATGTACACAGCTCTGCTCAGCAATAATATTGGTAATTTTTGTAGCCTTTATTGGCCTTTATACTTTGCAGAAGTTGATTTTGTTCAGAAATTATTTTCATTCTGAATTTTCAGCCATTTAATAGTTTTGCGAAAAACTGGTAGTATGCTCAACAAAAATTCATAATAACAAATTCACCGAACATTTCTTTAGGCAATGTTATTGTTACTATTAATGTATGAATAGTAAGTCAATAAAATTTAAGCAAGAACTAGACAGGAACTGAGCAAGTACTGTTATCATTATTATTATCCCTATAAAACTATCAACTATTTATTATTACTATTAGTGTTATACTTATAAGCAACAGTATTTTTATTATTAATTCTATTATTATTGTTATTATTATTATTATCATTATTATTATTTAATACAGGTGATGTCACTGACAGTCCCAGGTATGTATGAGTATCAATTGGAGTCACACTTTGAGCACTACTGCCGAATGAATGGAGGGCAAAGATTAGCATTTGTACCTGTAGTAGCAGGTGGAGAGAGAGCCTGTCATATTCACTACACTACAAATGAACTCAAATTAAAGTGAGTCCCTTTAGCTTTACATGCATACCGTATAGTGGGAAATTATGGAGGGACTTAAATTTGGCAAATTGCTAAATTCTAGTGATTGGTGAATTTTAATTTGGCAAAAATTTATAGCCATGTGCCATTGAGCATGCACCTAATGGCTCAAAGTGGTGAATTTTAATTCTGGTGAATGGCTCAAAACGCCAAATTTGCAAAATTTAATTCCCTCCAAAATTTCCTGCTATACGGTACTTTTAACTTAATTAACATCTCCTTGTGAAGTAATTTTTACTTTTTTTTGTTTTTGACTCTGTCTCTATCTCCACCTCTATCTCCACCTCTATCTCCCTTCCCCTCTCTCTTCCTCCATCTTTCCCTCCTCTCCCCCTCTCTCTTCCACTGGTAGTGAAGGAGAGTTAGTATTATTAGATGGAGGTGTTGAGTATTGTGGGTATGTTAGTGATATTACACGTACTTGGCCTGTCAATGGAAGGTTTACAGCTGCACAGAGGGACCTTTATGAAGCTGTTTTGAGAGTGAAGGAAGCTTGTATTAAAGTTAGTTACTGTTATTCTTATTGCCCCATTGCTCTAATACATGTATTTTGTTGTCAAATTTGTTGTTGACATTAGGAATGAGGTTATAATTACATTATATATTACAGTTATATTTAAATACAACTACTCCATTTTTATTTGTGTATTGTTTTTGATATTACAGTGTTGTCAAGTTGGTGTAACACTAAATTACATTCACTCAGTCTCAAAAGAGTTGCTACAAGAAGAATTGAAAAGTGAATGCTATACCAATCATAATTTTATTTGATTTATTTTAAATTTTTATATTTAGAATTAGAAATTTTACCTACTGATCTAGATGGACCAGATTTAATTCAAGTATGTATCAAAATTTTACGATCTATCCCTCTTATATTTTTTAATAAATTATTTTAAATTTTTTAGGCGCTCAACAGTTTGTATCCTCACGATATTGGGCATTATTTAGGAATGGACGTACATGACACGCCCCTTCTGTCTCATAATGTGGTTCTTCAACCTGGTATGGTAATTACTGTAGAACCAGGTGTCTACGTTAGGAGGGACTTCCCCATTAAAAACCACATCAAAGCTAAAGAGTGAGTATTCTTTATTGTGTTATGAGCAAATTGTAAATAATTAGCATTTTATGGAAAGAGCATAAACTATAGTCCATGGTTTTTTCCGAAAAATGGCTCGGAAATGACCCCCACTTTTTATTACATTTTCTGATACATATTGATGTCCTTATGCTATGTAGAAAGTTTGAGCTAATTTCGACTTCAATTTTTCAAGTTACGGCCATTTTAAAAAATGAGCCAAAATCTGAAAAATACCCAAGGCTATAGCCCATTGTTTTTTCCAAAAAATGGCTTCAAAATCATCACAAATTTTTATTGCATTTTCTGATAGGTATTGATGTACTTATGTTGTGTAGCAAGTTTGAGCTGATTCCGACTTCAATTTTTCAAGTTACAGCCATTTTAAAAAATGAGCCAAAATCTGAAAAATACCCAAGGCTATATAGTCCATGGTTTTTTCTGAAAAATGGCTCCGAAATCACCCCAAATTTTTATTACATTTTTTGATGCATATTGATGTCCTTAAGCTATGTAGAAAGTTTGAGCCGATTCCGGCTTCAATTTTTTAAGTTACAGCCTTTTTAAAGAAAATATGCCAAAACTCTGAAAAATACCCAAGGCTGTATATAGCCCATGGTTTTTTTCTAAACAATGGCTTCAAAATTACTCCAAATTTTATTACTTTTTCTAATGCATGTGAATGTCTTTATGCCTCATGTGGAATGTTAGTATTATTATTTTTATTATTTTAGGTTTCTTGGAGCTGCTGTAAGAATTGAAGATGATGTCCTCATTACTTCTGATGGACCTCAAGTACTGAACAAAGGGACACCTCAAACTGTTGAGGAAATAAGTGTAATAATTAATAAATAATTAATTAATAATAATAATTAACTATTGTAAATTTATAATAAATTTATCTATAATAATCATTAATTGTCACTAATGTATTTTTTGTATATATATTAAATTTATAAAAATCATTATTGATTATTATTATTAATCAATTCAGTAATTATTCTCTAAGTAGTTCATAGTCTAGTTCAAGTCTTTCAATAACATTTTGTGGTATTTCAATAACATTTTGTGGTAGACAGAAAATCGGATTAACTCCTTTGATCTGTCTATTGCCTAGCAATGAGAGACCAGCCAATCCAAATAAGGTATGAAAAGGATCAACCTTTAAAAAAGAAAAATAAAGTCGTCTTTGTCTAATATTTTCTTTTGCCAAAATTAAATTAAATTTTCAATTTTTTTTACCATGTCTCCTGGTCTATCAGAGAGTCCTCCTGTTTCATCATCTTGAGTTGCCATTATGAACTGAGTGAGTCTCTCCTCCAATGAGAAGGTACATTGAAGCTACACTGTACAACATTATAAAGCTAACCTTATCAATCCAGTGTATCCTGCCAATGATAATAATAATTGTTTTTTTTTTATTTTTTGCACTTTTTAAGCAAAAATTTTGTTAATTTTGATATAGCATTAATAATTAATTTGTGCTCTCTCTCTCTCTCTCATTCAGTTATAGGTTTCATCAAAATTATGATTTCCTATACTTCACTGGTTTTCAGGAACCCGATGCTGTACTAATTATTGAGTCAAATAGTTCTTCACTGACCTCTTCCTGATCATAACACTGTACTATATGTCACTGATAGAGACCCATTTAAGTGAGAGAGGGAGGGAGAGATGTCAGATATTAATGCTTTCTTTGTTGCTAGGGAGAAGTGGGAGGGACCTGTTTTAGGGCCTGACGATGCCGTTGATTATCTTGACATTGATAAAGTAAATTTTTATTTTAAAAACTAAGTTATTGGGCGAAGCCCACTAGTTGGGCGAAGCCCACTAGTTCGAGTAGAGTATGTTTGTTTGTTTGTTTGTTTGTACACGTACGTCACCCCTATTTATCCGTATGAAAAATTTTCCTATTTTAATAACCTAATCTTAATCTTCTTTGAAAATGGGTGTGGTCACAGTGAAATAAAATGGCGCCAGCTATCAATTCACTAGCCATTAATTGCAGTACGTTAGCCATTAGTAAAAGTCCGCATATCTTTGTAGTTTAGGGTGTGGCCATTTTTAACCACACCCTCTCACGTTTTAGCACGTGGATTATGGCTGCTAGTAAATCAAGATAATTTTTCTTTACAATGATCATGTTTATCAAGACAAGTCATACAAGTGAAGACATTTATCCACAACCATAACATATAATACTTTTTTAGAGTGTAATTATTGACTCTGTGCTTTACTATAGTTATAATTTTACACAATAGTTATTACTATCTAGGCTAAAATACAGTGCAAGCAAAATAATTAATGTTATAACTCATAATTGATGTGAGTGAGAGAGACAGAGCTATAAAGACAGTATTGGTAACAAAAATGGAGGTTTAATGTTAGACTCTGATCTTCATACAATGCACACACACATTGTCATGTGAACAAGCTACATGTACCCATAAATTACATTTTTTACATTCTATCCACTCAACTACATC